CGCTACACGGGATTGTATGAAGACACCAATTCTCTTTTCAATGTTCCGATGATTGTATTATTTTATATATAATTGCTAAACTGTATCGTTTTCCTTTTACCCGTTGTGCATTCTGTACTACATATAACTCTTTTCAACGTCAAAATATAACCCAAATCTGCAGAATATTTTGGATTTGTTTGTAATCTGCCAAACCGCCCATTCTGAATGTCAAGTCTAGGATCGCATTGTTGTGAATCAGATTAGATTCGGCTTCTTGATTTAAAAAGGAAGAATTTTAATGTTTGTTGACTTTGTTCCGGTTGGTTGGCCAATCATGTGTCGTTTTGTGCGATAACCTTTAGCGCGACCCACGGATTTCAAGCAAGGCGATTTTATGAATACTATTGGGTAATGTGTTTTGATTTTAGTCACAAATGGTATTGCAATTTGGATATATACATGTGACGACTCGCGGCAATATTGGAAATTTTTTTCAGATGGCGTAAATTAAGAACACGATTTGTCATCGCTTATTACCCTGTGCAGAAATACAGGTTCACATCCCACGAGTATGTGCGCAAGAAGATCGCTGAGCTCCTAGCGGCCACAATGTGATTCACAAATCACTCGTCTGTTGCGGCTTTCTCGAACAACCTAGTTCATGAATTTGGACCAATTAATACTTTATTATTTAGACTTATTCAGTAATACTCGCGTCAATATAGAGGCTTCACTTGCAAACGACACTAACCGACAGGCTTGTCCATGGGACATGCCCCATCCCATTGCAATTTATGCCTGCCCCACAAGTATAGGAAGAAAGTGTAGTAAAAAGAGTAAGAAGCCTTTCAAAGAAAATGCAGAAAAACTTGGGAAAGTATCTTTGGAAAAGCGCGAGTTTCTCTCAAAAACGATATGAACAACGCTATTAATAATTATTAGTACATTACATAGACCTAGTTCGTTCTGATGAATTCTTTTACAAAGCGTTTTTACATGATCACTCAGAACAAGGATTACTATACTGTACTACCATTACGATACTGATATACATTGAAAAGTGGAATCGGCCACATCCTGCTAACTATAAGTTTTGTCATATTCTCGAAAACTTGAATATTTCTGATATTTTTTCCACATTAGGCGTTTCCACACGTAGACTGAGACAGGGCTCTTCACAGGCCAAGATCATACTTCCTTGAATACCGATAATTATATTAGACTCTCTCCAGTGTTGATAAATCCAACGCCCATTTATAACGCATCGCCGATGCTGTTTTCATCACTAAGAACCGAGATTTATGTCACAACAATATTCAACCCATTATCTTGTTCAATGCGCCGTGAATTCATCGCTCAAGTCACGATATCTCAGGTAATAATACGTGGGTTGCATAAATCGGTTCAAAACAGGCGTAGCATCAACCAGCTGTGTAATGAATTGGATATGCGATGTCTTATTCGAAAGATTCCGATATTTTCAAGAACATATACCCCATGCATAACAGTGGCTGCATATACAGTTCGGAGATACCGTGTGGTAAATCCATACAAAAATATTGGTGCTCCTGAAGTATGCGCACTAAGATGTCGCACAACCTGAACCCTAACCTGGTACACAACCTCAGTTCAGGTTGTGCGCCATCTGGGTGTGCCTACTTCAGGAGCACCAATATTTTTTGTATGGATTTTGTATGGTCCAAAATATTTATCTATATCCAAAACACATTACACAATCCTATTTAACTAAGAGAGCCATGCTTTGAATCGGTGAAAATATGCGCGTGAACCAAGTCTGAGAGAGCTTGATGAGCGATAAGATATGAAACAGGAGGATACGAGAGTCGTCGCATTTCAATACTGTTCAAACAGATACGTTTGGAACGGAAGGTAGTATCTTTATAGTTCAGGTTTCAAATTTATATTTTTGTCCTAACCACATCGGTTCGGAATGCCGACAGAACTGTCGTATCCATAAACTCGAACTTCGCGCATCCCCACCCAACCTTGACGACGTTTATGATATCTGTGGCCATTATTTGGAATATATTGCCACACTAAGAAATCTCTTCAAGATCATAATCGTCATACTCATCACATGTCTGTAACAAAAGGAGTCAAATGGGCTTGTGGTAACCACACGGTCCTCATCATCACACTTTGAACGCTTTGTATCACATCGGAATCCCAATTGCCAAACAGGTAAAATACATTTACGTATTTATAGAATCAGATGGCTTGAAAGGAGACTAAAGGTCAATATTTTGTTTAAAGTTACAACAGGCGTCCCATCAGAAATTCTATGTTTGAAAACCGCTAATTCCCACGCTTGGTTTCATTGCTAAAATGACAAAGGCCAAATCATAAAAAACAAAACAAGTTTCCAATATTGTGAAACTGTAGCCGTGCAAGTAACGCCTAACAATAAATGACCTTATTCCAAGTCAGCGTAAAACACATTCGTATTCTGCATCCTGACTAATAAATCTCAATATTCTCTGAGTTATAGCACATAGACCTTCCTGCAAGTCAACATTAAATAAACTTATTCAGAGTCACCAGCACAAAACACATTCGTATTCTAATAATAAATCCCAATATCCTCAGAGTTAGCGTATAGACAGACCTCCTCCTCGACTGATACTCGGCACCAGAGTTAGATAAATTATGGTACTCCAGATCGGAAACTAGTGATTGATTTGCTATATCCCAGTGAGAAGCGGAAATGCCAAACGAATCAAGATGCGAATATATGGGATTAAGCGGCCTATGAAGCTAAATAATTACAGATTAAACACATCGGCAAAGAGGTAGAAACTTTATATTCGTAAGCGCCAATGCCTAAAATACAATAAGTTTGCCATTTGCCAACGCCTGAAATAAAACAAGTCTGCACCATAGACAAGCCTATAAGCGTGCTAGTCACGTCTGACAATAAATAAACCTATTCAAAGTCGACAGCGTTGATAAACATTAATATTTTGGCTGTTCGCACCTTCGTTGGGTCTTAAACAAATCATTCTTATTTGTTGACGCTTACAATTGTGTTCTACTTGACCGGAACAAACCAAAGTTCGATGCTTTTGTGGCATCGTTTAACCATTATGTAAATTATTATTATCGAGGGATTATAATTGCGAAGAATAGTAATTAATAGCTTCGTTTGCCAGCACTGTTCTGGAATTATGCACTCTATCTATCCATTTTATTTTTCTCAAACCTCTTTGCGACGTGCCTCTCATGCTACTCTGAAAAAGCAATCAAACAAGCATAAAATATTCAACCTACAGTTAGATATTGCCCACTGAATACTTACAAAGCAGGGCTTGTCTAAACTGGACATTTGATAAATATTAAAAAGACAATTGGTTTATTCTACCTAGTATAAAATACCTCAGACAAGTCCCGCTGATCAACTCTTCAAAAACCCGCTCCGCTCTAGAGCCTAAGCACTTTGCATATTTATCTATGACTCTGTTGATTACTCTAAATTACCTTATAATTACATCTTAATTGGAATATGGCTCTGAAAAAGCAGTCACACAAGCTTAATGAGGTTTAGCACAAAGCTTTTGATCGTATAGCCATGCGTAACACTACGTAGCATGGTTGAGACTTAATATTTTATAAAAGTTGATAATCCTATCCAATATAAAATGGTGGCCCACCCCTGGGGTCAAGGCGTATGTTTTCATAAGCACTCATACTAACATGATAAGCAATCAAGTCCAGCACACACCTTTTGATTCCACAGGGATGGTACACCTAACCCGTATAGAGCGAATATTATACCTCCTCGCTCCGTGAGCAAAATTGTATTCGTTTTAAATTATTTCTTGGAAAACAATGGTCCCACACAATTTTTTCAATCACTTCCCCTGATGAGCACGTTTTGTCTAAACTTAACATTTATTGGTTAAATGAAATAATAAATAGTTGCGTACTCATACCGAATAAAATATACTCCCGACTCTTCAAAATTCCGCTCTAACATGCGAACAAGTTTCCTTATAACACGGCGCTCCAAACTCTAATTTACCTCATACGTCTGTTTGCCAATTTCCCTTTGTTACAATCCCGGTATAAATTGTCTGCCGCTGTTTTTTGTGTTTTTCTGCTTGAGTGAAATCTCGTTGTCGCTCAAATATTTGTCTTGGTGAGAAAATTTAACTTGTTGACTGCTAGGAAAATGCGGTGGATTTACTAGATTTTCACGGTATGCAGTGGTGAACAATACTTCGACTGGTCGAGCATGTGGGATTGTAAATTTAGAATTACTTACGGAAAATAGGCCCAAAGAATAATATTAACGTTATTAACTTGTTACACTACTTGATTTAGTACCCCATGCTTTGGAGACTTTTTTATTCCCATTTACACCGCAATAAGTTATTACTTGGCTCTATAATTGGATCATTCACTTAGACATTAATAATTTATTTTGTCTTCGTTGCACACGTATTTTTGCAGTGCATGTCGCAATACTAGCAACAAATCATGATTTTTTAGAAGCTTTCATCTTATTTATACAAATAATATGATATATATTACTCTCAAGAAGCGACCACTTTCCCTGGTGTGACGCCACGAGAACGGTGCGCGTTGGTGGTTTCCATCAAATGCCTAATACAGCTAAGATTGGACTACTTTTTGAAGTTTTTACTAATTTTAGAATGGAACAGTAGTTTTATTTTTGCATTTACCTGAAGTCAGAGATTCTATCGGAATTGAAAACTAACCAATGAGTTTTATAATTAGCGCTGATGACGCCAAGTCGCTATGTATTAACGAATACGATATATTTTGGAAAATTCCAATCATGAATCCGATGTGACCTTGGTTTTGAATAGCCAACACCACACCACCCGCATACAAGTTGGCCATATTTGTACGAAACGCAACTAGCCAAAAAAGTTGTTCGCACGGAGTATAGCATGAAAAACCCTACAACCCCAATTTAAACAAACCCTCTGTACTTTTACTTTCTGAAGGATCCATAACTTCACAAATTCACCATATTTTTTAGTTTTTGATGATTTTTATTGAATACAAGTGAAAAAATAATGAATGTGAAGTAGCGATTAATATTTCGTAAAAATTCCTACTTTACTTTATTTGTGAAACGATACCAACTACTATCTAAATTTTACATCAATTAAAATGGGAAAATTTCGATGCGAATTTTAGTTTATTTATGACTACAAATAAAGGCCATTAGTGAATGCTACGGTCAAAATAAAAAAGCGAAAAAAAAAAATGGAATGACTAGGCCGGGAGTCAAGAAGTTGACGTCATCGATGCGCATCACTGCACATCCATCTATTCTTTGACCAAAACTGATAAATCGCATGAGAACCAATGCTCAATTCAGGCCTAGTTTTGCAGGCAAATCTTTGGAATGAATGAGGGGTTGAAATTTGGCAAAATGTGATCCACTAATGGAATGTTTGAATGAATTAATTTCAAGGAATGTAACATGTGTGCTGTCATTTTGTGGGGGGAAAGGGTGAACAGCATTCATATGCGTTCAATAACTTTGCATGGGCTTCTAAAAACTGTGATCTGACAAAGATGAAACTTTTCAAAATTGCTTGTGGTACCAATACATGATACTTCTTCTTAGTTTTTGTTTTCACTGAAGAGTGAGATATTAATTACGCTTGGCTGTTATCAATCAGGGCATAGTAACAGATTCACTGTTAGATAATGCAATTCTTGTCAGTTTCATGAATACAGATAACAACAAATATTTGCTGAGCAACGCATGGTACATTCCTGGCCAATACAAGCAATTAAAAAAGTCATGATTATTTACAAACATTTTGGCTAATGGAACAAAGTATAAAAGTGACTTTAGCTGTTCATCAACATGCTTATCTATTCCCATCCAACCCATCTTATCATAACCTGAAAACAAGCAAAAACGATTTGGAGCAAAATACATGAATATTTTAAACTTAAAAGCACATTTATTCGTCCGCTTATATATTTTCATTATTAGCAATGTCTTATCATTTCAACTTTGACTAATATTCAATAACTAGGATTAATATATTTGATTGATTTGGTGCTTGGTAATGGGAAACAATAATTAAAATTTTTATTTATTCAAATTTAAACCTGTTTAACCGCAGATCAATTGTTTTAAATTAAATTAAAAAAAGTGGGATAGGGTTGTGATGGAAATCATTCCGAACGCACAAGGCTGGATATAAACTACAACATTCTGGATAGCTGGATTACTTATTCAATGATGATATAAAAAATTCGATTCGAATTTAAGTTCGTTATGTTATCTTGCAGCAGATTCGTGGGTTTAAAAATTGTTTTATCTACTTTTCGATATCGAAAAGAACCTCGAACTTGACGGTATTCTCCATTGCTTTCTCTATCTGGGGGTTGTCAAGGCTGGCTTTCTTTGCTGTCTTCTTATCAATGGTTGGTTTGGCTTCAACCTTGATCTTGTATTGGCCTGGTTCGATCTTTCCTTCCTCTCTCTCGAAACCACGGTTAAGATGGATGAAGTGGAAGCTGTCTTGCTTGTGAATTCTGAACATTCTGCCTTCGTTTCCTCCGATGATTTTGTACAATGTGTGATCCTTCAATGTCCGGATAGCTGGGATAAGTTGGATCAATCGTTGACGTGGGTTCAGGTTTTGTAGGCTGAGATGCATAATGATTGGAACAGATGTATTAACTGGTGGACGGTTCTCATCATCCCCGCTTATCATTTCCATTTGTGCTGACTCAGTAGATCTTCGTTGTCTGTGCGGTCCAACCGGTCCGCAGTCGTAGCATCTTCCCATGGGTGCTCCACGTCCTCCCATGAATGGTAGTTGACCGTATTGCTGAGGGTAGACTGGCGGTTGTTGGAAACCACCCATACCGTTCATACATTGACTGCAAAAGAAAATGCAGGACTAAGAAATTTTTCCAAAATAATTTGTTCAAAGAAAGACCTCTAATTCAGCAGTAAAAGAGGCTCAGATTTGAGCAAATTCACAAGCGACAGCTAATGTGCCATCAGCTACTGAAACTATGTTAGAGTGCAATATGTGTATCACAGAGAAGTAAAGGAGATTCTACTCTAAACAAAGTTACGGGCGACCATCAAAATGCCAAGAGCTAGTGAAACTATATAAAATTATAGTGGTGCGTTATGAACCAGTAAATAGTAATGAACGCGAGACTTGAAGAAGTTCGAGTAAATAAGATCAGTAAAACAGCTATGAGGTGATTAAATCCTTGCTATCAAGTCACCCACCTTCCACCGAGACCGAAGTATCCTCTCGGGCATCCACATTTGAATCCACCATATGAATTCTGACATTGATAAGAGCAAGGATTGTTCTGGAATCTGCATTCATTGATGTCTCCGCATCCTCTACCGTATCCTCCCATCATTGCGAAGCCCCTGAAGGTAAGTGTAGGTTATCAAACTGGGAGAGCAGAGACTCGTATGTTTGAATTAATAATAGGAAGAATTTAGGACCTTCACGGGTAAGGCACTGTCTGGGGCAAATATTATATCCAACAGCTCTATTTTGAATTTGTTGTTTCAAATTTGATGTTACTGGCTTATTTGTGGCATTGAATAAAACTACTTAGAATGTGGTAACTTTTATTGTGATCCGAAGAAAATCACCTCATAAAAAGATAGGCCATGTGTTTGCCTTCTATAGTTGTTGGGTTTTACTCAGCTTTCGACATCAAACGAGAGCACTTAAAGACCTGAGCAGAGACGCATAAAATATGAACAGCGTTGATTTGGCCCTCTTTGACCTTGACTATATATTGCGCAATATCTACCTTCCGCATCCACCGCCAGTGCATCTGTATTGTCCTTCAGCATTAGGAACACATCGGCCTCCAAATTTGCAAGGGTTTGCTCTGCAGTCGTTGATATCGTAACATCTCATGTTGTGAAACCTGAGCCTTGTGTTGGGATTGCATCCTGGCACACATCTGATGGACTCGCCAACGTTCATGCACATTTGAGGTCCGCAGATACCAGGTCGGGAATCACATGGTAGACCTTGAATAGATAAAATATATGCGATTTTCATATTTATTTGAAAGCCAGATAAAGTTAAAAAATTTGGCAATGACCAGGTTTGTATCGTTCTAGCCAGCGCTTACGCAGACCACCCTGCTCCGACTTGAAGTATAGCAATTATTTGGCACATAATTGATTCGAGCGCCAAAGAAATAAATGAAAGAGAAATTCTTTATTATAGTTTAATATAGCATTATTGATGAATCCCAAGTTGTAGAAATCAGACAAGCTGATGTGTCACGCTTTCACTTGGAATAAAAAGTAATGCTCAAATTTAGAAACAAAAATTTTCTACTGGAGCCAACGCCAATATTTGCAGTTTTCCGATTACTTTAGCTAAACGCCCAGGTCTCATAACACCCGGATCTATAATTTTTCATTGAAGTATGTTTCCCCCCCCCCCCTAATTTACATAAACAAATATTCCATCTTACCAATGCATCCATCTCCATTTGGAGTCTTCTCAAATCCTGGTGCGCATACGCAATGGTATCCACCGACATCATTCTCACAATCAGCGTTCTCACCACAGATATCTGGATCCATCTTGCATTCATCTTGGTCAACGCATGATTGGTTCTGAAATCAATGTGATGATTTTGAATATCTTGATCAAGTTACAACTTGTGAATAATTATATAAATGATGTTTTTCTATAAAAAATTTCACTTCTCACTACACTTTCAAGCATGTTTTTGTGGCAATTTACCTTCCACCAAACTGGGAACAGTGTCCATTGATATAGTTTAAGTTATGACTCAAACATATTCAAGTATACTGTTTACAGGTACTGTTCACTGGCATCTTTAGTCATAAGAATATACACAACTCTCAGCTTGTCAGTGGTGCTTTCAATTTTTGCTTTATGGGATTCAACTTGCGTCCATACCCTTCAAGTGTTTTAAAATTCTATAAGGTCTTTTTAAAGTCTTACATTACACTTTCCCAAATTTATTCTACAATGTTCCACCTGACCAAATTCAGATTTTCTCGGGCAAGCAGTCAACAACAAATATAGTCGCAAGGGTCAGCTCTTTTCGAGCGTGTGACAGAATGCATCAACCATAAGTGAATAAGCGGGGAATTTAAAACTTACGTTATGCATAGCGAATCCGTGTGGGCATCCGCAGTGGTAGCTTCCGATAGTGTTGATGCAGATGAATTGACATTGATGATCTTTCCTGGTGCATTCGTCGACGTCTATGAGAAACGAGAGAAATTTGAATGTGAGAGAATTTAGAAAGAAGGTGTCTTGGAACGTTCGTTAGTAGCTATATTTACAAAGAATATGGGCCAAGTTAACTATGGTTCTAACTCTGATTGAACTCTAATCAGTCCACGCGATGTGCACTTTAAGCGTTCTTTTGTGGTAAACTATGTTTTATATGATTAGGTTTAATCACCGTACTGTAGGGATAGTGAAGATAGCCGAGATAAAGATTAAGAGTGATTCAAAAGTCTTTTTGTTAAACACTCGATCCACCGCGCATCACCTCGAAGGTATGTTCCATATGCTAGTTTCTATATTCTATATTTGTTACTGAGGACTCTCTTTTATGTAATACTCACCAACGCATCTCATAGTGTTGGTGATCTGGTAACCAGCTGGGCATTCGCATTTGTATCCACCAAATGTGTTTCTGCATCGAGATCCTCCAGCACATCCGTTTGGCATGGCGCATTCGTCAATGTCTGAACAAAACAGAGAACATTACATTTTTTGTCTAAGATAAGCTGACGTATTCATGCTAGAGAAGCAATGCTGAACAAAATCTTTTCCCTAGAAGATCAAATAGAATGCTAAGGTTTCATCTCGTAGCGAGGCACATGCTGGAACAAGTATTCAGTGGGTAACAGTAACATACATCATGCAGTGTGTCGACATAAAACTATGCATCTTTGGACTTTTATCAAACTACAAACTAATATGAACTCAATACTTTGATTATTGTACAATAGAAAGAATAGAATAGCCCACAAGAAATGGCTTGATCCGATCGACAGTACCAGTTCAGTAGATCCTGACCTGGGTGACTGTATTTTATCTCATATCTGGTCTAAATTTAATAATCCTTTGTTGACATCACTTTATATAAAAAAAAGTCAAATATTCTGCCAAAAATTCTCTATGGTGGCTCTGATTCGTGTTCTCATGTTACCAAATACATTAACAACTCACCAATACAAGCTTGCATGTTCTCAGTTGGCATGAAACCTCTGTCGCAGATACATTTGTATGATCCTAGGAGATTGGTGCATGTGCCGTTGGCGCAAAGTCCAGGGAATACAATACAATCATCGATGTCTTCTCCTCTCTCGTCGAATCCAGGTCCGTGTGGGCAAAGTTTCACGAATTCCTCTGCGTAAATGAAATTTTATGGTTAGATACCCTTTGATGCTTCTAACAATTTTAATAAGCATGATTTGTGTAAAAGAAAGAACAGGTTCCTTAGAAGGTACATAGACCAATTTCAGAAACGAAATAATAAAAATACCCAAACTAACAGTACAAAATTCAACCGCAAATTATCCGTTAAAACTCCAAGTAATCCCATGCCCTTCGACTGCATGCTTATCCACTCTGTTGGTTTCATATTATAAATATCAGTTATATGGAGATGTTGTGTGTGACATGTGAGTCCAAGTTCCTATTTAATAGGGCACATGCCACTGGTTCAACTTACTTGAACTTGGAAGCGGGCAGATATCACAGTCAGGTCCCCATCCTGCACCGTTGTTACAACAGCAGCTTGTCTTTGAAACGGAGAAGCCAGTAGTAGCAGTGAGTTCGCATGTACGTTGGTGGACAGCGGCATAGCAGAGTCCCTCACGATTGTCTGAAATAGGAGGTAAATGTTATAAATTGGTGCAGAATTGGTTCAATTGTATGTACCAACCTATTGTGATAGACAGCGAGAGTAACAGTAGTCAGTATATTTTAAGGCCAATTATATTTCCGAGTGCTATGAGGAGGAAAACCAGAACCAAGGGGTGACGTGGGTGAACAGAAAACAGTTTAAAAAATTCTGAATCATCCACTACATAATATATCAATAATAGATCTTGGTGATGAAGAGAAAGTTGTCGTTGTTGCGATACTTCCAATTTATCAATATTTACCAGGAACGCAGATAGCTTGAGATAAAAAAGCAAGCATATTGAAGCATAATGTTCCTAAATTAATCGCAAATACAATATTCTTCAAAAGAGTCTTAGATCTTAGTCTGCTTGTCAACTCACCAATGCAACGTCGTCCTTGTTCGTCGTATATGTAGCCTTCACCACATCTGCACTGATAGCTTCCTTCCAAATCGATGCATTCGCCTCCTGCACAAACTCCGAGAGTCAAACATTCATCAATGTCTGAAAGGAATAAAAAAGAATTTAAGTTGCGTTGTAATGTGAAGTTAATTGTACATTTGAATCTATGGCCACGCCACTCGGATGCCCAAAGGAGTTGAAGCGCATATAGCAACAAAAAAGCAGAATTTTTTTCCAGTAGTTTCACAGAAAAGTTTTATGATAGAAACATTGAGGAATTGTTTAATATACTGTGTCAGCCCGTATTTGCGATCAATTAATCAAAACTACATAAAGCTCTCTGTTTATTTATCGCTTTTAATTTTACATAATGTATGCTGTCAAATTTAGACATAAGTCGATGTCAGTAACGTGAAAGATTAAATTTATGAAATGTCCGCTGCATATGTTTTGACTGCCGCTCATGTGGACAATTCACGCTGCATTGCCTTTATAATAATTGTAAAAGTACGTCAAATATAAATTGTATTTTGCTTACTCTCGCATTGGTCTGCCACTCCAACTTTCTTGTATCCTGGTTGGCAAAGACATTCGAAACTTCCAACAGCGTTCTTGCAGAGCATTCCTTTCTCTTCACATCTGTTTAGGTCATCATCGGAACATTCATCAATGTCTGTTGAATGCAGAATAAATAAGATTCCAAAATAAAGCAATCAAAGCAGTTGTTGAAGAGTAAATTGAGGAAAGGAATAAACATGAAAATCTGCTTTGAATATATCAACTAATCCTGTTCTAGGGCAACACAATTTACTGACGCGATTGACCAAGTAATATTCGATTTCAGTTATATTCAGTCAGTTATATATCAGTTACATTTGATTTCATTTTTAGGCCATCTTTAACAACATTATATTAACGTTGTTTAAGAGCTTCTGATGCGGGATCGAAAATGTATAGCATAAATCTAGTATTTAAACAGCAACTTACCGCTACATGATCGCTCATCATCATTCAATTTGTATCCATCAGGACAAGTACATACGTAGCTTCCATCTGTATTGACGCATCTGAATTTACATCCGTGGGTCTGTTCAAGACATTCATTGATATCTAGAAAAGACAAATCAAGCGAATCGATCAAAAATCCATGAAAACATGTCTACGAAAACATTCCAAATTTCTTGAGTCTCGAGCGTGGTCTTAACATTGTATCTAATTTTACAGTTTAGGTTCATATTACTTCTGCAGGCCCGTACAGCTCGGAGTATACATATATAACTGGATCAGTCAAGCAGTGTTTACTACTAAGCTAATATTATTAAAATTAAAATGCAACTTTGTTTTTTTGCTTTGTAGGACTCTCTTTTGAAAAGTATATATGAATTAGACACATTCTGGAAAAAAGTGATGTTCGTATAGTCTGGTTTATCAAATCCGAACACTGAATCGCCTCAAAAATGTTATCTTATTTGATTTGAACATTTTGTTCAATATCAAGCCAACTCACCAAGGCATTTCATCATAGGTCCATTGTAGTATCCGTCCTCACATTCACAATGGAATCCACCAACTCTGTTTGAACATGTTCCAGGTCCGCATGGGTTACCTCGCTCAACACATTCGTCTTCGTCTAAATTGAAAGATATATAGATTTGGTATTGTTGTTTGATATTAATTAGACTTCATTTCGTATTTATCAAAAAATCAATCAGAACTGAAACGACAGTGCCAGGAATTAAGATTGGCTAGTTGGGCTGCAAAATAGACAGGTTTATTTAGAAGGAAAAACAACACAAGATGATGCATACTGACAATCCAGTGCAGTAAAGTCATTCAAAGAGTTTACTGAGCCTACATATAGTTCTGTATTCATTCGGTAATGGACTGGTACAATCATTTTCGGGACCTCCTGAAGTGTGCGCACCAAGATGGCGCACAACCTGAACTCAGGTTGTGTACCAGGTTAGGGTTCAGGTTATGCGACATCTTGGTGCGCATACTTCAGGAGCACCCATTTTTGTTCAGTAACATGGAACCATCAAATAACAGATTACATTTAGAGATTCAGAGAACCCAAAGAAGATTGTGTAATGATGACTAATAGTAGTAGCTACCTGCATACCAGTGTTTGCTATAATTAAAATGTGTGGAAGAATTTCACAATATTTGAGGAAGTTTGATGTAAGGATTTAGAATGAAAGCAGTACAAAACAAGTCACTCACCAACACAGACAAAGTTCGTTTCGTCAAGTTTGAATCCAGTTCTGCATTCGCATTTGAATCCTCCCGCCAAATTTCTGCAGATTCCGTTCACGCATGGATTGTTCGTCACGCACTCGTTGATGTCTGAACAAAAAAAAAAAACAGAATATTTTAGAACAAATGGGTTGGATAATATAAAATACAATTGAAGAAAGCAAAAATTTGAAGATAAAGAAATTCTTGAATTTAATTGTGTTTTGATACATAAATGTGTAGATCTGACGCGAGAATTATTGTCTAGAATGAAAAAATTAAAATAATAAAAAGAAGGAAACGCAATGCTATGAATAACCAACCACTCGCTATCTCTTACCGTCTCCATTTGGTGTGAATCCACAACCTTCAGGGCAAAGGTTTTCGAACTCTTGTGTTCCTTCAGCAGGGCAGGCCTCGCATTCACCAGCAGATTCACCCCAGGCTGAGTCAGTGCATGTACAGCAGCAGGAACCGCGAGTAACTGCAGTTGGCATCTCGTTTGAACACACGCCAAGGTCGTATGAACTGTAGCATTGGCCTTTGGTTTGATCTGTCGGTTTATAATAGAAATGCATCAGGTACAAAATATGTTTGTTTACGAAAGAGATGTGGGTGCCTAATTGAAATAATAGTTACATTTAACACACTTTATACCGAGAAATTAAGGATATATATATATATGGTTATATATGGTCACTAACTGCATTACTGCAATCGGTTGTCTTCGAGTATGCTATGCTATTACTAATGGGTGCATAAACGGGTTTGCAGATCGGTTATCTGTACAAAATTATCTACACTAACATGGATGTTATGAAACATGGGTTATTAAATAACATAATACATACCTATGCAAAGTTTCTTGTTGGTGCTGAGAGCAAAGTTGGGCGGGCAAACGCATGTGAAGCTTCCTGGCGTGTTGACACAATCGCCATTTGTGCACATATCCAACAATTCACATTCATCGTCATCTAAACACAGAAACGTTTGTTAGAACGAAAAATACCTCAACTTTTTTTAAAGAAGGGGAAAATATAATGAACTCAATATAATAAATATCTTAGTTTTTGTTCATTTGATGGATTCACGAATGAAATTGTACATCTTTATACTTCAGATATAAATCCATTACAAGGGAAATTTATTGAAATATATTTCGCTATCGAAAATATGATCTTTACTATTTGGTGCCAGTGTGGGACACATGAGGAACCCCCGGTAACATTTATGGAGTACTATTTTGCGACTGCGATTGAAATTGCTATCGGTCCAATGGGCTTGATGAACCTAGTCTCTTGATTAATTACTTCCATTGTAGCTGCTCTGTTAACTCATTCGTTACACTTCAACAAGACTCAAATCCATCGCAATTCCAACTTGTCTCATCAAAGTTGCACACTTAGCCCGACAATTCTATTAGATTGATTACAGGTAGATGTTAACGTAGTTTTTAGAAGAGTAGAATCCACTCACCAATGCAAGATTTTCCATCAGGGCTAGAGTATCCATCTGGACAGAAACATTTGAAGGAACCGTCCATATTTTGGCAGGAGCCTTCACCGCATACAGCCGCATCCTCCATGCATTCGTTAGCATCTGAAAAGTATGCGTATACGCCATGTTTAACAATGAAAATTCCAACAATGAAAATTAAAAATAAATGAATGAATTACAATTAAGTTAAAATTAATGTAATCGCAAATGGTATCTAGTGAATGCGTTTGTTCGTGGTTCTTAGAGAACCGCTTCGTGGGACTCCAGAGAACCGAGGGCACGTTATGAGAAACACCTCACTGTGATGCTGCATAGTAATCACGTCCATTTATCCTATGAATTTATCACTTATACGCACAAACAATCTAATACTACGAAAAACCATTGTATGTAAAACATATGCAAAATAGATATTGGAATTAAATGATACCATGGTAAAACATTTCTTATTTCGGCTTACTATATGTAATCCACGATTTTCCATTAGGTTTGGATAATTTTTGCACTCATAAGTTCTAATCGCTCTACAACTGAGGGCATCTTGAGAGTAATCAAGTCAATTTTAAATTTGTTATTTCTAAGGTGACTATTGTTTAAAAATTTAAAAACTTCTCCCTCAAATCGAAAATATTTTCATTCCACTTACCGATACACGATCTTCCGTCGCGGGCTACCTTGTAACCATCATCGCACATGCACGAGTACGAACCATCTTCGTTGATGCAAAGTCCGTTACGACAGACAGATAGTTCAACACATTCATCAGTATCTGAAATTATATTTTAAACATATTTTTAAAATATATTATCAAAGTTTTTAGCTATTCCAGAATTCTTCCTGTCATAGACTACGTTCTCACTATGGGTTGAAGCATTTGAACATTTAATGATAAATATCATAAACCAGTTGCGTCAATCTACGCCGGTAATAAGTACCGTATAATTGTAATAAAAGTGCTTTCATTTAAATTTTTTAATCCAAGTGGAGATACTACCTTACTACCTTAATATTTATTCCACAAACTTAACAAACGTTTAACGCTTTTATTCTTTAGACTCACCAACACAGTCTCCGTTGTCACTCAGGGTGAAACCGTTATAGCATGTACAGATGTAACTTCCAACCATATTCTGACAATTTCCGAAACCACATGGATCAAAGTCACACTCGTCGACATCTGTGAATAAAATTTTACTCAAATTACTGCAAAATACAGAAAAAATATTTCAGTAACTTGCCCAGGTTTAATTATCTTCCTCCACATAGTCTGAGATACCGAAGCTATAACACAATACATCGATATAAAAAACATGATGAAAACAATATTGGCTTTGACTTTGAACTGGGCTTTAAATGAAATCAAATTCCTGAAAAACATAATACTCTCACCTAAATTTGAAGTTACTTATAGTTTACTAATTGCTTGTGGTCACAGCACTGAATTTCTATGTTCAAATGCTTTGGCTCTGGACTGTAACGAGGTACTGAAGGGCCGTTTTGAATCGTACCTTTCTGAGTGTAGATATTCTGATTTATTCAGCGAAAGAATTATTTATCACTAAATACGCTACTGTAGAGATGACCTACCCTCGCATGCTTGTTCATCGTTGATGCTCTTGAAACCTTGGTTGCAAATGCAAAGGAATCCGCCTTCCCTGTTCTCGCATTGACCGTTGGAACAGGCTTCTTGCTCGATACATTCATCAACATCTAAGAGAAAGAATATTAAATATTACATGATTTTCACCAGAAAAATCGAACGATGCAAAAATTAGAAAGTTGTTCATCAACCCAACAACGCCCAATTGAGTACTGATTTAGGGTATGGCGCTCTTTTGCATAGGAATAGAATAAAATGGTAAATTCTGGTTCAGGGTAAGGAATCATATCTGAAATTCATGGAAGCTAATCTAATAGATCTATTTGGTAAGTTGCTTAGTCTTAGATAATGAACTTTTTTTTTCAGTTTTTTTCTTTTTTTAAATTTTCAATATCCAATAATAAACCTAAAAATTCCCAAAGACATTAAGTTAGACTCCCAGGTAACTTACCGACACATTCTCCATTCCTGTCAGTGTAACCATCTTTACAGCTGCACCTGTATGACCCTTGCAGGTTGACACATTGTGCATTGATTCTGCAGATGTTTTCATCAGCAGCACATTCGTCAATATCTGGAAGATAAATTAAACTGAGTTATAATTATCACACTTTTAACATAATAAACATTAGAAGTAAAGTAAAGAGTCGGTAATGCGTCATGTCAGAAACTTTACGTTCAAAATATTCAAGAAGATTCCCACAAACGCAACAGAATGCAATATTATCACTTATTATTTAATATTATTACTTATTACTCAAAAGATTTCTTGTAAGTATATTCTATGTCGGATGTAAACTTGCCTCGACTGTGCAAGACCTGTAATCCACGTTGGTGCCCTTACATAAATCAAATTAATATTACCTTCACACATGAGCATTGCTTCGTTGTATCTGAATCCCATCGGACATTCACACTGGTATCCGGTATCGGTGTCGACACAGATTCCATTCAAGCAGAGATCTGGAACTTTCTTGCAGATAAGTTCACCAGGTTCGTAGATATCAACGCCACACAGCTCTTTGAAGGCAGTGCCATCTCCGGGAATGGGGCAAACCTGAACATGTTAAGATTGTTACTACTTTGAGCATATGAGTATAAAGGTTTGAGCAAGCTGCCGAATACTTTATTTGAAGTTGAGATTTATCAAGAAACATTCCAAGTTGGATCAAATCCTATTTTTAACAGTCAGTGACTTGTCCCCAGTATGGTCGCTGTACTAAACTGAGTCAGATCGAATCAATTTCCAAAGATTTCAAAATTAACTTGCCATGTCGATATTCTAATGGCAATCGCCCACTTTTTCTTGGCCATTTTTGCGTCATTTTAGAATTCTAGTGAAAAATAAATAACGGAAGTGGATGGGTGGTCAAAGAAGGCCAGAAATATGGAACTTTATTGAAACAATCGCTCAACTGAAGCAACTATTTGCGTATGTTCTTTTCTGTTTTATTCAAGCCATTTTTGTTTTCATTTCCAGAATAAAAAATTACGACGAAAGGCGCACTCAATTCTACGACTAACCTCGCATGGATTATTCCATCCTTGTCCGATCTGTCCGGTGCAACAACACAATTTCTTTGTCACATTGAATGGGAGTTGTTCGGTACATTGGAATGAAGATTCGTTGTAATATCTGTAGCAGAATGCTTCTCTTTCGTCTAAACGAGAAGATAATTTTTTCATAAAGAATGCACATTATTCACACACATAAATATCTGATGAATGCCCCGTTTTCTTTGTCACATTAATAGTTTCGTGGCGCACTCTCACAAGTATCCAAGGGATAAACTACCTGACATAATAATGTGGAGCGCAATTCATAAAGGAGTGGTCGCCAGAACTGAAAAAAATTTGGCTTTGTTCGTTGAACATTATTTTTGCCACCACAGATATACTGCATCAGTACTGTAGCGGTTATAACAAGAAACTTTTATTTATCTGGCAAAAAGTAAAGTACTTTCCACCTTCTTCTATCGGCACAAAGCCGTTACTGCCCGGGTATATCAATATTGGAATTGTCGTCTTACCTTCACAGATTCTTCCTCTATTGATTGGTTTGTATCCATCAGGACATAAGCAACTGTATCCGCCAACAGAGTTGACACAAGTTCCTGGTCCGCAGACAGCTTCTGCCTCCGTGCATTCATCAACATCTAAATACGAAAAAGTATAAATCTGGTTTGCTTACTTTGAAACAACTTAATTACGCTTGGTACATTATTGTGCTGTCCAATGACACCACATCCTAAAAAACGTTTAGTCAAAAGCAAAGTTCCACTGGGATATCTACAGTTGCAAATAATTGGCTGAATTTAATAACTTTGCCATTTACTAGCTGACTTTTAGTGATATTCTCTAAAATCTACATTATTGGAAAGTTAAGTTTGAACATATTCTCTACCTTCGCAAACTCTGCTCTCTTCGTTGAGTTTGTAGCCCTCTGGACATTCGCAGATAAAAGATCCAAAAACGTTGACGCATTTTCCGCCTTGACATAAACCTGGAAGCTCCATACATTCATCAATGTCTTCCAAGAATACTGTGATCGGGTTTGGTTTGAATCCGTCTCCTCCTGGACAGAGTGTTTGATACTGTAGAGAAAAAAAAACATATGATGATAGTAAAAGTTTTGCTGTACACATGAATCAGCTCTAGCTTAGCACTCCAATCCCAACGACATAATAAACCAGGTAAAGCGATTGCAGTTCTATCAAAAACTCAGTAGACTATAACTTCTAAGAAGAAATTTATACGGAAAGCCATAATAAGTTTTAAATCGATATTTAATGATATCTTTGTGGCGAGGATAACCTCTCATAAATATGTTACTGAGTATACCATTAGTTTCACTATCATTACTCTTTCAATTTAAGTTGATGGTTCTGTCAGTTTTGAGCAAACCTATTAATAAAAATAGAACACCTACCTCGGAAGTATTTCTCTCAGGACAGATTTCACATGGATTTCCCCAGGCTTGTGCGTAGTAAGAACAACAGCATGTCGCACGGACAACATCAACTCCAATAGCACGAGAACAGATGGGAGCGTTTTCATCGCCTTCCACTCTCAGGAAACAGTCGCCAGTTCTGGTATCTACAAAGAATACATAACATTGGTAAGTGTTATTCGCTGGGTACGCTTTCGCCGGCCTTTGAATCAAAACATAAAGAATATATCAACATACAGGTAAAATAACCACATCCGCCCACACTGCATAAGTAATGTTTTTTTATAAATCTTTTGTAAAAAGTTCATGTTACAAGACTAACTTTCGGACGTATGAAGACTATTTTTACAGGGCCTAGTTTGGGGCAGAATGATGAAACTCAGTCAAAATTCCGTTTACAAAAACACAATTCATACGATAAAATTAAAAACTTTGGGAGATGTTAGGTAGAATGCTAACATGCCAGATTTACATCTCGAACTCATTATTCTCTCCAACACATTAAAATTTCAATGTATCTGTATGAACAACATACCAACACATCCGACACCGCCAGGGTTGGGGGTGAATCCTTCTGGACATTGACATTCATAGGTTCCGATTGAGTTGACACATTCACCGTTGATACAATTGGCAACGTCATCACATTCGTCAATATCAGTGCAGTTTGCTCCTTGTTCGTCTTTCTCGAAACTGCAGAAAAGAATGAGAATGTAAAGCAGATTCGTAAGGTGTAGGAGAGAATATATGAGCTCATATACTTTAAAACTAGTACAGAGAGGCAGAATTCAATCATAAAATATAGAATTACATTAATTTTCACATAATTTACTGAATAAGGCAACTAACATAATCAGGTTTATGCGTTCATATTCCCTTATTCATCGAGTCAATTACGCGCTACCTGAATAAGTTCTAACAAATGAAAAACAAACAAACGACAATATTAATTTATATCTCTTTGTTATGAGAAATCTGAATAAGTTCTAACAAATGAAAAACAAACAAACGACAATATTAATTTATATCTCTTTGTTATGAGAAATCTGATAAATATTGCTTACCCTTTGAGGCATTCACATCTGAATGTTCCTGGAACGTTGTGACATCGGCCGTTGACGCAGATGTGTTCGATTGCGCATTCATCAATGTCTGAAATGAGAAGAAAAATTGTAGCAATGTTGTTACTTTGATGTTGGGAGAAAAGCCTAACAACACCCTTGTACCCTTCTTTTTGCCTTCTAATGATATTCAAATTATTTGTTCATACAACTTTGAGATGTGAAAAGTAAATTCCAATTTTAAAATTAAACAAAACGCTAACGTTTTATTTTCTCTGGTTTTTCAAAGTCATTAGAATTGTGTATAACTAACTCGTCTTGGACTATCAACACCTGACCACTATCTTTACTTCCTTCTTATCAGGGAGTAACGTTTTATTTTACTGACCCTTCATTCATCACAAGATCACTAAAATTCATTTAAAAGTTGAATTACAAAGAATCATTACCATTCAAAGTAACATACCTTTGCATGCTTTCTTGTCAGCGGTTGTCATGAATCCCATTGGGCATTCACACTCGAAGCTTCCTTGAATGTTTAAGCAGGTACCATGGGGTCCGCACAAGTTTTCATCGGCTAAACAATCATCCTTGTCTGAAAAAATATTAAGAAAATGTTTACAATATTTTCCTATATAAATCAATTTAATAAAATACTGTAACCAAATAGAAGTACATTATATTATATTCACTATATAGAAGTTCAAGTGACGCCATACCATCACATTATTAGCGAATGATATAGCTTTTGGATGACATTCACTCCTCATTACATGTTCACGTCTATTCATTGCGCTTTCAAAGTTTATCTGCAGGGATATTCCAAACGTTGACTAAAATAAGTTGCTTGCTTCTTGCCAGTTGTGAAACAAAAGGATATTAATACAACCAAACACCCACCAGAGCAAGAGAAGCCGTCTCCGTGGAATCCATCATCACAGTTGCAAGCATATGATCCATGAGTATTATCACACTCCGCATTCTCATCACAAGTATTGTTGCCATTAGTACATTCATCTTCGTCTGCAAAAATTCATTAGATGGGTGGATTAAAAATTAACCTGTGAATACGATTGGTGGTTCTGACAATTATTGACGTCTGCTGGTTACCTTAATTTGATATATAAATAATGGATTTTGGCGCATTTATAAATATATACGCGTGTATATATACGAGTATAAATTTTATATTATTCCATCTAATTAGCATTTGAAGCAGTAATTTTCAGCTTCTCAGAGTAATTCGAATCTAGTAGCAATGATTGGGAGATTTAAAAAATAAGAGTAATATTAATAACACATTAGAATCGGGATTATAAATTTTTTCTCCTCTCACAGCTTTAAATATCTTGGCTAACTTGTTTATTCGACTTTTTGAATTGTTTTAAATTTATTTTTGAATCAAGAATGTCTTGTAAATTATAAACCTTTTGCTGAATTGACAATTTTGGTGTTGCTTGAAAAACTCTAGCAAATCTCTAATCTCTATCTTCATGTGGTGATTTACAGAGTAAAATCGGTACAAAATGGAGATACGAAGAAATATTTTCTTATAAATTTAATTTAAAAATGTTCGCTACATTCGAACTGTGAGTGATGTTCTGTACAAAGATATCAGATTGCCACCTCACTCTGTGTATGTGCAACTTACCGATGCAATCAAATCCATCACCGGAGAATCCATCAATGCAGGAGCATTCAAACCCGCCATCAGTATTTGAACAGTCTGCGTTAACATCGCAGGTATGTTTTCCCAATTCGCATTCATCCTCGTCTAAAAAAAATGCGAATTCAAAAGTTTGTTTAAGTTTGACTACAATAGAAATGTTCTTTGAGTGGGACAAAAGTCCTGCTTTCCCCTTCCCGAATTTTATTCTATATTATCATTATTTTACGGTGCTTAATTGAGAAAAGTTTGACTTTGATCAGACATAACTCAACAGAATAAAATTTGTTAAAGTCAGTAAATGTGGAGGAGCCACTGACACAAAGACACTGAGAAAAGATCCGAAAGACACAAGCTCATCAGTTCAACTTAAATATTTATATAATAGTTCGGTCAAAGTAGAAGTACTAGAATTTGATAAATTTTATTGAGATTTATTGGTTGAGAACATTGACAGTATATAACAGCTAAACAGCTAAAACGTTAAGCGTTAACAGCTAAAAACCAGAAGCAGTATAATATTAACAGAAAATTGCAATTGCTCATGCTCTTGCTAATGTACAATAATATGATCTGTTTCTCGCAAAGCGACCCGATCCACAACTATCGAATCTTGCAGTTTAACAATGTGTACAGCTACTAGGTGAACAATGTTTGAATCTATGTTTAGTAAAAAACGGCAATTAAATGAACTCAATATTCCCACAGTAAGTGAAGCCCTAAAATACGCAATGGTGCCACCTACCGACACAGATCATTTGTCCTTGTGGTACACAATATCCTTGATCGCAATTGCAGGTGTAGGAACCTCTTGTGTTGTGGCATTTACCATTCATGCATATGTTGGGATTCATTGCACATTCATCCATATCTTCGCAATATCTGGAATGAAGTTGGATTTTTAATTATTTCAGAATCCTAACGTTAAACCATTACCCCCTTATCCTATACTAGAAAGCCATCTTTACAGGTAATTCAAAAATTAGTAAACTTTTCAACAAATATGATTATAGATAGACCATGTACTAGTACTTGCGATTATAAAAATCATGGATTTTTAACAAAATTCAATTCTGTAGCAATTTTAAAAAAAATGTCGATGTTTATCCAGAGATATTTTCGGGAAAAATTTCGAAACGATATTATAAACATAGAATCAAATTTCAAAAACAAATGATGATTTTGAATCAAACGATTTTATGAGGCGTTTCTACTTTTTCACTTCGAATAAGACTCTGTACAAGCGAATCCACTGTATAACGCCATCAATCATCCCCTTAAAAATAAAATCACAATACCTGGAAATGAGAACCCATGCAAACAACACTTACTGGAAGTCCATCGTAGCCATGAATCCATCAAAGCAAACACATTGGAAACTTCCTTCGATGTTTTCACATCTTCCTCCGTCGCATCGGCTTGGTTGGTCCATACATTCATCAACATCTGGAAAACAAAATGTTTGATGTTAAAAAATGAGTCAACTGCTAGGAGATTACTCCAACAGAAACAAATTTTGTCTATCGTTTTGTACAGGTTCGAATAGATACAATTTTAGGTGGAGTTTTTTCATAAAAAGGTGAAATTATTTTCCAAATTGCTCTTTTAGCCTCATAGGGAACTAGGAAACTTCACTTGTGAGATTACTGCCGCAGGAAGTTCTAGTTATGGAAAACTTTTTCAAGACAAAATATAAGCCAGACTCTATTCTCCTTTCCCTATAGAATTCCATTTTTTACATTTTTGCGTATATTTTGGTGCTTGGAATTTGCCGATATTGTTATAAAAGGCTTTTATCAAAGAAGCTTTCAGCGATCTGTTGCATATACAAGAATACTTACCAGCGCAAGTGTGTCCGTCAAAAGTCAAGGTGAATCCTTCTTCGCATCGGCATTCATATGATCCAATAGTGTTGACACAGATGGTAGAGCATCCACCGTTTTCGATGGCGCATTCATCTTTGTCTGTAAAGTGAAAGTAATGCTCAATATACAACTATGTTCAATTCATACATTTAATGTAACGTATTTTAATTTTGTGTGCCGTATACAGATAGGAATATGCTCACAGGCAGAGTGAATAAATATAAACAAAAATTGTCTACATATTTCCAGTATAATGGGCCTCAGGTGCTAAAAGTAGGAAAATTGCTGATAGTGGTAAATATATATTCAATAATCGTGCTGGTTACTGACACAATATATTTTATGTTTCACCTGACCGTTACCAGACTTTAAATTTGTTCATTTGAATTATAATTCAAGTAGAGTTATCAAACTACGGTTATATTACGTGAAGGTACATACTGACTATGTATTAGACACTCACCAACGCAAATTGTTTTATCTTCAGTAGTTTCGAATCCAGGATCGCATACACAGACAAAGAAACCGAGCATGTTGACGCATTCTCCATATGGTTTGCATAGATCTTTCATGACCAAGCATTCGTCAACATCTGGAAAAAGAAATTGACTGTTCATGCAACTTCTAGGGCAAATTAAAAAGCGCTAATAGTCATGGTATTCTGCGCGTAATCACGGGGTGAGAAGCATTCTACTAGTGGAAAGTGTTGAACGTTGAAAATTGCATTGCATTACGCCAGGAATAAAAAAAAAAACTATAAAAAATTACTCACCGACGCATCTTGTTCCGTCTGGGCTCAATGCTCTTCCTTGAGGACATCTGCATTCGTATGAACCATCTGTGTTCAGGCAATCTCCTCCTGTGCATTTACCTCCAGCAATACATTCGTTGTCATCTAGAAGTAAGAAATAAAAGGTTTAATGTTCCGAAGCTGCGGTAACCGAAGTAAAATACTACATAAATATCTCTGAAATTGGAAGAACCCAAAATAACTGCTAGTAAATATCGAGCTTGAACAGAAATGAAAAAATTATATCTCAGATTACATTTGTGTACTGAAAAAGCTGAAGAGAATTTTTCAGTGGCAATTTCAAGATATAGATGTATGATGTCATGTGGGCCTAAGGAGCATTATGGACATTGGCCCAAACGAGAGGGGAAACACCTTTATCACTTTTATGTGTCATATGTTGACTATTTGATCCATCATTATAGGCAATTATATGTTCTTTTTATTATTCATTGGAATTGCTTCATGTATGCTGATGTCATTTTTTCACGAGGATTTAATTACATTCCTCCTGACTATTGACTAAAAATTGATTTATTAAAAAAATTAGCTATCAACTAATGAGGTTCCCGGATAAGAGCAATACTGAGACCGAACGCAAGCAAGCTCACCTTCACAGAAGTCTCCAGTTGAACTAAGAGTGTATCCTTCTTTACAGATGCAGTTGAAGCTTCCGTCTGTGTTGACGCATTCGCCCTCACCGCAAAGTTCGATGCTAGAATTGATATAAATTGTGTTAATCAAAGAGAAATATTTTAGGTTAATGGTTAAACCGTTGTCTACAACAGGCTTCGATGCGATGCTCGCATAAATGGCCTATATCTAGAAGGTTTTCTAGGCACGTCCCACATCTTTTTCGCGGCTGTAAAGAACAGTGTTATTAAGATTTAATTTTTATGTATCATGACGTAACTCATTATCAGTTGCGTCACTTCTTAAATTCGTAGGAGGCCTTTGATATACCGAAAGCAGTTATTATATCTGGAGCGGTTTGTAGCCAATGTTAGAGCATTAGAAACAACCATTTGGTATCTCCGCTAATGGTTTTGACATCGAATACATTGAGTATGCAATGACAAACTGCAAAAAGACGAGTAATTTCAAAATTAGTAGGTTCTCGCGTATTTGGGCCTGCTTAAATATAGGCACATTCAGAGCAATTCCAGATATCAATATTTATCATATTCACCTGATATCACATTCATCAATATCATTGCACATCCTGCCTGTCTCATCCAAGGTAAAACCAATGTTGCATCTGCATATGAAGCTATCCACTGTGTTCTCACAGATACCATTGTTGCAAAGATCAGGGAATCGAATACATTCATTAACTAAAGGAAAAGTTTGATAATAGGTGAATAATATGAATTTCTTTTGAAGCTAGTAATACAACATTAAAGGAACCATAAGGTGGTAACTTTCCCCATACCCGAACTGATTTGACTATTAGACAAAAGAGCGTGGTTTATAGAAAGATAAAGAGATATGATAGAGCACCTTATAGACTTTCCTCTTCCCCGAATAAATACAATCTTATTGTATTTTATATTCCAATGCAAACCGACTTGCATACAACCACGCACCAAGTCCTACTCGTTAATTAAATTATTTAATGAAATTGCAGAAATTTAAAATAATTCAAGTTAAGTTAATATTGGTATAACTTGGGCCAAAGTTGGATGCAATTTGGATAGATGCTAATATTGCAAAACAAACACGACTTTTATACTGGCAACTCGTATTTCTCCAAACCACGAGATGATACAACAAGCCATTTTCTATACCAATCATCGCCATCTATTCAATTTATTTTATTTCGTAGAATGTTATCAATTTATATTTATTAGCAATTCAGGATAAGCTTTGTTGAATATATGAATATAGACACAAAAAGGGTGAGATCGAGTACAATTTAAGAAGCTTTCAACTGCCAAAAAAGAGACAAAACCTGGCATATATTCACAGAATAATGTTAATGTGAGAAATGGCGCTGGTTAAATAGGACCCTGGCGAGCCTATAGTGTCGTCTATTATTTTCATATGTCGTTTACCTGTAGGTCCGAGTTTTCCGTCTGTGCCTCCGGTTTTGCCAAGCGGGCAAAGTTTATCGAATTCTGCAGTTCCTTCTACCGGGCATCCTTCACATGCATTGGAGTCATGACGCCAGCCTTGTCCCACGGTGCAGCAACAATCAGACTTTCGCATAACGGCACCGAAAGTTGGATTGCTACATTCGTTTGTGCTCTCTTCGAAATCCCAGAAGCAAGTTCCAACACGAATATCTGAAATTATAAATTATGTTAATGATTTTCATGCAGACCTACATGGAAAGCGATTAAACACGAAGGCAAAATTTGAAGTGAAATATCAAGTCCCATGGAACTCAGCCACAACAACAATTTTGCGAAACGATATTCGTGTCTAATTGCACCCTTGATTCCTTGGTATTTCAGTTTAGGCTCGTAAACTTGCTCGCAGCCTAGTTACAAAGCTCAAATATGCCGGGTTATCTTTTGGTGCTTGACATCATCACAACCACACAGACAAGTATTTTGTTTCGGCCATGTTCACGATAAGTCCATGCTGGTATATAAATGGGAAATGAGTAGAATCTAATAAAGTTCACAGATGTAATGAGATATGATAAAAATGTGATTTAAATTGAAAAGCAGCTTGTTCAGAATATTGTTCCTGGCGAATATGAGGGGCACTTTAAAAGGAATGTTTCTACCTAGACAAACAGTTCTTGTTGAATCCAATGTGAGATGTTCTGGGCAGATGCATTGGAAGGAGCCCTCTGTTTCAATACATTCAGCAAGTGGATCGCAGGCCCCGTAAGAACATTCTGGGATGTCATCACATTCATCGGTAGCAACGTTGTACATGTATCCTTTCTGGCAACGGAGTTCTAAGACAAAAATGTCAAATGTTAGCAAACTAAAAATATGTCATTAGATCGATGACTGCATTGGACCTGCATTTTGTGATAGACATTGATACGAGCAAGTGTTTTAATAAAAAAGCATCAGCCAGGATTAACTGAAAATGATATAATTGTGAAATTGGTATATTATAATAGAGTTGTATGTTTCGTAGGCTTCATAAATACTGACCATTGCTGAAGGCATATGTGAAAACGAATTCATCTGGGTTAGATACTTTGCATGTTTTCTTAGATCAATAGACCTCATTCAGGAATCGCCCCAAATATGGGACCAATAAAAACTCCTTCAACAGCTCGTATCGTTGCGTCATTTTTTGTATCACAGACATTATAACGCACTAAATCAGATGTTCTTTCAAACTTGCTATGAGTATTGACGGCCAGGACCTTGTTTTGAACCCTGGCACAACTTTGTGTGTGCATTATGTCAATTATTTTCGCACTACAAAAATTATTCCATAAATTTTATTTTAGACGCAATTTGTGTCATGGGATATGACGTAATCAAGCATATATGCACGACCTCAACTTACCAATCTCAGTACATGGGATGCAATTCTTGTTGCCCCAAGCAACCCCAATGGAGTTACAGCAAGCCTCAGCAGTCAAAACTCTGAAGTTATCTGAGCAAGTATTGTTTTCATATGATTTCCAGCATTGTTGCATTTGAACGTCTGAAATATAATTGAAAGGTTAACGTCAGTGCTGTTATTGCATCTCATCGCACAATCAATGAACCCAAATATTTTTGTACTAATTTTATTTCAATTATAAATAAAAGTAGGGAATTGACACTATTGGTATAATAGGGGAAACTTTATGCCATGTACCTAAACCTTATGTTTCCATACCCTTTGTGATGAGCTTGTATATGTTAGCACGCAAAAACAGTGTCTCCAATAGGTTTAGCTAGAAAACTCTAAGTCGCCATCGTCGATAAGCTAAGACAGAATACTGTTTAATCTCGGACTCATACTTACTGTAGCAAGCCAGTCCATTTATGTCAAGCATGCTTCCTTCTTCGCATCGACATTCAAAGCTTCCAGGAAGATCAACACACTCTCCGTTGATGCAAGGGTTGGATTCACATTCAGGAATGTCTGCAAGTTTCGAAATGTTAGTTGTAGTAAGATAAGGAAAGCAATCACCTATGATATTGGACTATTCCAGTAATCTATTCCAGTGTCCTTTTGGTCAACTGTGAACTGCGGAGAATTGAACTCACAGAAACAGACTAGTTGTTATTTGGAATTAGGACATATTGATGATACAAACTATTGTCGCCGTCGTCTAAGAGTCAAAGCGGTCCCAAAGGATCATGACCATTCAAAACTTTAACAGTTCCTAATGTATAAGCAGCTTGTGTAGTTACTTTTGAAGATATAAAAAACATTTTAAAAAAGTTTAAAGAAACCTCTTCCCTAGCTCAGATCTTGTTTATAAACGATCCAGGATTCCTTTTTTTAACAGTTTTCAAACCGAAACAAAGACATACCTTCGCAAACGTCTCCTTTAAGAACGAAACCGGGATCGCAAGTACAGACAAATGATCCTGGTGTATTCCTGCATTGTCCGTTACTACATTGCATGGATTCGCTGCATTCATCAATGTCTGTAGAAGATATTAAAACTATTTAGTAAAACGTAAACATACATATCTATCACTAAATTAGTTATTTCCCGAGCTCGTATCTGTAGTTTCTTTAATTTCCAAATAAGAAATAATGGAAATTTTTCGTAGTTTCCAGAATACAACCTTAGATTTCAAATTTTGGCCTCCTTAAGATTATCAGCCACATAAAGTACTTACCAACGCAGGCTTTCTGATCAGCTGTCGGTAAAAACCCAGGATGGCATTCGCATCTGTAGTTGTTTCCTTCCATGTTAATACAGGCTCCGTTGTCACAAGGTGAAGCGTGCATTGCACATATATTGTTGATGGTGACACCACTGCAGAGAACTCCGTGGTTTTCTGAAATAAAATAAAGTCAATAGTTTGTGCTATTAATTTGGTTTCTGCGTGACTTTTCTTTCTCCTATGACTTTGTGTCGGTGGATCCGTGAGCATATAATGCAGTAGCATGGGGAAAAGATAACAATTCTACGTGGTTTTAGCGAATTTTCAAATCACTTGGAAAAAGTCAATAATTGCAGCCAAAATGAAAATTGGGACTTGGAAATTTAGCTGAGTCTTGTTGTCAGCCAGTCGTCTTACATAGATTGCCACCCGAATGGATATCGCAAGATTTGATACCTTCTAGCTAGACTGTCCCACTACCAACTACATGACCAGCGATATTGTACAGCAAATGGGAGGGCTCGAAACACTACGGCGTCCGGCTTTCAAAATGCATGCTGAACTTAATTTCGTGAGTTCATATTAAAATTTAACAAAAGGACTCTCTGGATCTGCAATTTTATATAGCATTGTTCTTATCGATGCGTATATTTTTATTGGGCAAATTCTGTGATGCCAGATAAAATAAAAGCTTTCGTTTTCAAATTCTGCTTGTGAATAGCAGAGTTCATGAACCGCAGACAAATGACATTAGGGAACCACATTTTTTATCACATCAAACACTCACCAGATCCTCTCTCCGGACAAGGTTCGCAATCATCCCAGGCGCTCATTCCTCCTGGCACCGCACAACAGCACTCAGCTCTCGTTGTCAATGCTGTCAGTGCATTTTCTGCATTACATTGTCCATTCCTTACATTTCGGAAGCAGTTGGCGACTCGAGACTCTGAAGAAGATAATATATTGATAACGCCATAATTTGGAGGTTTTGAATCAGGTCCGAATCATTGGAATTCAGAAAATTAACAAAACACAAACATGAGCCATATGCTATACGGTTGATGCCATACAGGCTTTTTTGAATCAGTTAAGTTCTACAAATCTTGCAGAAAAAATGCTTTATTCAAGCAGCTGAATTCTTGATTTAGCTTTTTCTGGGAGTTAGTGGGTTGCCATAGTTAGGTTTGAATCTTCAGATATTGCGTTGCTCTTGATACGAAAAATCATATATACAAATAGCTCATGGGTTTCGAGTTCTGTTAAGGAATGCTCGACTATTTGAATTATAGTTAATTACATTAAGTTCGAATCTGTAAATCTAAGCAAGAAAGTAAATCTTAGTTAATCTTACCAAGTAAACAGCGTCTGCCTGATTCGTCCAGTTGTTGGAATCTATGGCAGTGGCATCTGAAGTCACCGATCAAATTCTCGCATTCTCCGTTGATGCAGGGTTTCTGCTTGCATTCGTCGATGTCTACGCAGTGTTTACCGTCGTGCTAAAGAAGAGAAACTCATAATTTCATTAATCGCAACACAACATTAACACAATTATTGGAGTAGAGATGGATATAAGGTCTAAATCCCCATATCAAATATACCGCTAATCAAATCATACCACGAAATTATACAGAATTAATTTGACTACAAAGCCAGATAGAGAAAGTCAATGTAACAACATAGTCATATTTATGGCAAACTGCGGTCTCTATCGCGGTTACCAGCCATAGAGCGAAATACATGAATATTTTTACTGATGTGTACTTACTGTGATTTCAAAGCCATTATCACACATACACTCGAATCCACCATTCCTGTTGATACAAGATCCATGTTCACACATTCCTGTCGCCTCACATTCGTTCTCATCTGTGTGAGAAATGATTTTAAAGTGATTTTAGGGAACAGCAATATATATTGTTAATATAAGGAATTAATCAATTTTTTCATGACGCTCTAACGCTGCATAGGATTGTGGCGAAAATCGGCTACGCCGTTAACTTGAATACGGATTTCCATGTGTGTGCTCATGTGAGTTGGTGAGTCACGAAGAAGGCATACACATATGATACAAGCCATATCATTGTGCAAATGCAAAGTAAGGTGGGCATATATGTGCTTTTCTTCTGGAACAGTGTGTCAATGACAGATGGGATTAGCACATAATAATACACTACTAATACGAAGAGGAATTGAATAAGGAGTAGTTCTTGGTAGAATGCTTCATGCTTCTGCGCCGTTGTGCAAATTGCAAAGTAAAGCGGACACATATTTGCTTTACTTCCGTAATCACAGGCCAGTGCTGTTTAAGTAGACAATCATGTTGAACCAGTCTATGTGAAAAATAAAAAAATCTATTTTTACCTTTGCAGCTTCTCTTATCAGCAGATTCAACGAATCCTGGGTTGCACACACATCTGAATGCACCAATAATGTTGACGCATCTTCCAAATTCACATAGATCGTTATCTTCAACGCATTCGTCGTAGTCTGAAATTTTTTATTACGTAATTGAGTAATGTTAACTGTCAAGTGGCGCACGAATAGCCGTACACAAAAGGCGACGTCAAAACGGTGGCGCTCTATCCCATTCCAAATTTTGATTTCGTTTAAATGAATGATTTAGGACAACGGGGATGCGCAAAATTCATCCTACAAAAAGGCAATTAATTGCTGTTTGCACAGAGTTTAAATTGTGAAAATGTCTTAATAAGCAAGCGCCACGCTGCGATAATTTTTGACAATTTTTTGAGCCCACTGGCATTTCAGATGTTGTTCGTGACTTCAATTTCTACCGGGGCCGTACCATACTTATGCTAAATGACAAGTACGTAAATCTGCAATTCCATTTCTTCGTGAAAACTTAGACCTGAATCAAAACATACCTTCGCATGCCTGACGTGTGGCAGTTTGTCTGTAGCCTTCATCACAGCTGCAGATGAAGCTTCCGCGGTTGTTCACGCATCTCCCGTTCTCACAGAGACCTTCAGGGGCCTCTGCGCATTCGTCAATATCTGGGAATATAAACAAGAAGTGAAATAAATGTGTCTTCCGATCATTGCAATTTACAACTCTTCAGAACTCTGCTTAATCCCCATCCGCAACCCAAACAATGAAAGCAAGCTTTAGATTTCAGTTTTGCAACCATACTACCCCCGGAACGCATAGACTTTGCTTTCCCAGAAACTGCCGGAAAGGTTGTCATGGTAACGCTTCTCAATTGCTAGTTGGGGCCGTTTATAGTCAGAACTACGACGGTATCTGATCGTCTTCGAACCTCTGACTTTCGCTCTATGATTTAGCAAATTTGCTAAATGTCATAAAATCATTTTGAATTAATATGACATCATTTAAAGGAATATTAAGGACCGGTGTCTGTCAACACAATTTCAGCATTGCTTCTTTATTAAAAGGTGATTGAAACAACGTTGGATCATGTCGTGATTCATTGAGTGAGTAAGCAAGGCCAGACCTAAAAGATTCTCGTAGTTGCTTCTGACGTTTCAGTGACCGCTTGGGCCTTGTTCTTTGTTAAATGGAAAAACGCTACATGAAATACCAGAGAAAATATTCTCTCCATGAGGTAACTATTGAGATCAGGACTTACCAATGCAACTTATCATGTCTTCTCCGTTTGCAAACCCGGGATCACAATGGCAGCTGTAACTTCCGATAGAGTTAACGCAAGTTCCATATAAGCCACAGATATCTCGTTCACTCATTCCGTCACCACATTCATTCTTATCTGTGATATAGATTACATAGTGAGTTGGTTTCAAATTTCGAGGTGGTGGTCATGGAAAAGATTCTGTAGCGTGTTAACATTTACTGAAGTCGTCGTCAGGCAAAGTCTTTTACAACATAACACTGTTCCCCAATTACTGCTCCTCACTTTATACATGAGAGTTTGGAGTAAGGAAATGACCTGGCTGGTTTTTCGTTAACTGTGGCTGAAAACCTATGTAAATATGTTTTCAGTGTCGTGAAGCATTAAAATTAAAGTGGAATAAAGCGAATATAAAAATAAATATTCATGCCCTCAAAATTTTTCAATTTTGAGCAAATCAAGCAAAAAAAACCAGAAAATGTAAAACAACCACAACAACATGACGTTAAACAACACAGACAAATTTACGTACGAGTCTAACAGTTTATTTCTTTATATTAATAGTACTAGTACTTGCACAATCTCAGCGTTGCAGATTACACCGGTGTATTTTTTGAATTGTGCTCGTTTGTTTGAAATAAAATTACAAATAAATACATTTTATTTATTGTGGGGTTCCAATCATATTAGGATAGGATTTACATATTTAATCATTCGTTGCCAGTAGGAGAGCGTTTTAAATACAGTGAAATCATTGTTTCAGCCCAGGTATCATGTGTGTTAGTATCACGGGGGAAAACATGTAATCACATTACCTACGCATCCTTTCATGTCTTCAGTGGGAGCAAAACCTTCGTTGCATCTACACTGATAACCTCCTGTAGCAGTGCCGACACATTCGCCGTTCTCACATGCTTGGACGCCCATTATTTGGCACATGAGATCGGGATCAGTGATGTCTCCTTTCCCATGACCAAGATCGGTACACTGGTGAATGAATTCCGCTGTTGCCACATATTGACCAATGTGTGCCGTTCGTGTATTCATGTGTGTGGCCAATTTTTTTTTTATTTATTAACATTTTGATATAATATGTGACGTGATCCGAATTGTGACCCACAAAATTTCAAATTAATTTTGCATATATGTATATACATGTATGAGAAAATATGTAAAATCAATGATAGAGTACCATGTGCAATTATTTCGAAGTTTAATAAAATATAACATAAATGATTATTCAAATACATGTTCGTGTGATGTATTTTTGGGTAATATTGTTTTGACAAAACGGAAACATTGTCCAAAATGTTTGTCCGTGCATTGAAGAACGTCCATTGTACATGCAAAAGAAACAAAAAACACACATTAGAAAACACACAGATTCACTCGTCGTCTCACCAACACAGGTTTTCGTGTTCTTATCTTGGATGTAGCCTTCATCACATTGACATTTCCAGCCACTAGAGATCGAAAGTACTTCAACACAAACACCCTTTCCACACGCGTCGAGATTTGAGGCGCATGGGTGACCCATGAGACTACTCAGTAACCCCGCGCCAACAAGCGGTGCCGGTCGGTCATAAATACCAAGCATGGTATCAGTTTGGCAGTCTCGGTCAAATTCAGCTGAATGTAATTTAATTGATTTATCCAATTTATAGGTCATTACTTGAATCTATAACTTCATTCAGCATAACCAAATTGGCTGGAGAATGCGGGACCAGAAGTTTTATTAAACTGAACCAATTAACCAAAGAAAAAATTCAAATGAACGGGTTAAATTACTTGGTTCAGTCTCACTTCATTTACTCGGTGTACTGTACTTACGCGTTCCGAGAGTTGGGCAACGTTCTGGATTGCTGTTTGGAACTGCGAAGCATTTTCCGAGGGTTTCTTGTTCATGCTCTCCAACAGTAGAACAGCAGCATTCAGTTCTTCTGGTGAGCTGTGGAAGAGGTGTTGCGCACAAGCCACTCTCAATTGAAGTGTAGCAGAATCCTGGTTTGTCGGCTGAAAACAAACATACAATATTTTAACAGCAATATTGAAAATTGTTGAATTTAAATAGTTCTTTTCATTTTTACGAAAATGTGCGACCAATCTAAATATCTCGAGGACCTCAACAGATGGAAATGTTTTGGCAATATTCCGATCTAATGAGTGGTTTGATCCAGTGCAAATAAAATTTTGTAGAAATTGGAAAAAGAAAGAGACTGGCTGGTGGGAAGGGTTCGACTGAAGTCTCTTAATTACTCTATAGTCAGAATAGGATGTGACAGCGGCCAGCGATAAATTAGCGCCATTTAATTGGGTGGATCATTTCCCGATCCTATAACAAAGATTATGTTTAGAAAATTCGGCGCTACCGAAGTATGTGCAACAAGATGGCGCAAACCTGAACCCGAACCTGGTACACATACTATGTTCAGGTTGTGCGCCATCTTGTTGTACATACTTCTGGAGGTCCGAAAATTTAGCGCCAGAAAATTTATTTTTTCAGTTTGGGGTTCAAATAAAGCTACCTTAATACACAAAATGCGATAAGTAGCTAAAACTTTTCACAGCCGCTCTTACTATTTCTAACATAGAAACATTACTTACATATACAGTATGTTTGGTCAGATGACAATAAATAATCAGGCGGACATTTGCACATGAAGCCTCCGACTGTGTTTGAGCATTCGCCATTCTCGCAGTATCCTTCAAGACATTCATCGATATCTAAAAAGATATATTAAACTTCAGGGCAGGATCTGACAGGTGGGGGTATACAGGAGCTTCAATGTAATTAAACATTTAATTGTCATTGTAGGCCATGAATATAATTCGGGTTATATTAATGTTAATACCAAACCAATTCCTCTGTCAGATATAAGTTGAGAGCACTAAGATTTGAGTAAAGTAATTTAAACCAATCAAATGATTGGAAAACAAGTTCTGTTTACTCCGTTTTGTCAGAGTTCCATTTCAGACAGGCTTTCGTCATTCTCAGAAATCATAACTTCGAATTTGTTTCTAATCATCCAGTCTTGTATTCCAAAGGTTTACAAAAATTGACTCCAAGCACCACCACTCACCTTCGCACTTATGAAGTTTGTTATTGTAAACGTAACCATCGGCACATTCACATCTGAACGATCCATCAGTGTTGACGCATTCGCCGTCCTTGCAGAGTCCTGGGATCATCTGGCATTCGTTGATATCTGAGAAAAGAGAGAGTAATGCGGTTAAAGTAATATCGCATATTCAGGAGCATTATGATCGTCTTATGACATTGATTGGAGGTACATGTATTGTGAAAGGTTTTTAGTCGTAGTTAATGTTAACAATTTATCCTTCACTTTATTTTGCTGTTATAATGCAGCTTTAAGTTAGTATAGAATAAATAAAACAAGAAATTATAAAACTAGTGGTGGGGCAATAGCAGTTTTTTCAGCAATTAAAAAATGATGGAATGGCATATTGAACAACTGGAATGATCAGTAAAAGGTCCGCAGTCGAGTATTTAATCTTACCTTCACAATGTGGAGGCATTCTTCCACGTGAGCAGTTTCCAGCTCTTGCGGGGCATTCTTCACAGGGGATTCCCCATCCTTGACCAATGGTGGCGCAGCAGATCTTTTTGTTGCAAGTCACGCCCTCGATCTGGTCCATGCATGTATCATTTGCACGAGTGAGGAAGCATGGTCCAACTCGGTAGTCTATAAAATTAAAAGTAATGTTAATTATTTGGGACTCTTTTCTGGAAAAACGTCGGTGAACACCGGCCGAAGTTTTTGGATTTCGCACAGATTATGATACTTAACAAATGAATTAAATGCCAACAATACTATGATAATGTTACGTCACTATATTTAGACGCAAATCTCAAACACGTCATCGATTAATGACATAAGTCATTAGCAATAAGCTTTATTGAGTTGGTATTGTGTGAAATACACATTCACCTATGATTCACTAAATTATGACAGCATAGTGTGCTATTGTGAGACGGGACAGTTTGAACTACACATTCACGATGACGCCACTGATTGACAACGTCGTGATTTATTAACAAACGAATATATTAGCACAGTATAATACGTATAAAAGTACGCATTCCGAATTACTACAAAACACGTCGCGTACCTGTCTGGCATCTGTTTCCAGTGAATCCATATGTGCAGAGACATTTGTTCGGGCTGATGCATCTTCCGCCATTCTGGCATCCTGGTCCACAGATGGCTGTAAGTAGAAATGTCAAGTTAAACACGAGAAACATCAACGGTGAATGATTTAGTTGGTACTTTTTGGTGAATCTAATAAAGTTTAATTGTCTTAAAATAACATTTTTAAATGAGACTCACTATACCACCAACATCCTATTTCAGTATCAATGACTAGTATTTATTTATGTGAATGACTATATGCTTGCACAACGCTTTATGCACCCCCATAAATCTACATGGTTTTAGTAGCAGTTGGCATTTCAGTGCTTGCCTGCAACTTTGCAAAGAAATTTGTCTCTTTTACTTCTGGGTGTACGCGTGTGACTTAAAGACCAGCCAGGCCTTTGCGCACTATTTTCTGTCATATTTTTTCACGCTATATAAGACAACAAAATAAATACTCACGCTGGGAGCAGTGGGCACCAGTGAAAGCGCCACTGCAAGCACATTCGTTGTTGACGCATTCTCCACCGTTCATGCAACGAAGTCCGCATCTCTGACCAGCTGCAAAACAATTTTTCGTTTTAGGAGATTTACTCATAAAAGTATTTTCCGTTACATGAGCATCTACAATTACTAGTTTGTAGAATAATATTTCCCCAATTACAGGTTAAATATTCCGTAAATCTGCATTATAAGGAATAACAAAAGTGTTAAAAAGCATCTTTATAAAGTACTGAACTCGTTCTGCGATACGGAATAAGGCAAGTCGAACACTTTAATATTTTAACTTACTTCTGTATCTGGGTTCTGCTCCACAAGATGTCGCAATTGCACCATTTTGACAGATACATTTTTTAGGCTGAATGCACACACCGTCCCCGCATTGATTGGGATCACAAACAGCTGGAAAAAGTACATTTTATTTCATCACTTAAAGACGAAGAGAAAGCACTGTTTTATTTTGAGTGATATGGATACGCTTACAAATTTCTTTAAATTAAAATTTTAATTCTAAAAAAATTAATTAATCCTTTTTATTTCAACCTTTCCAAGATAAATTTGCTGATTTTTGACCAAACTGAATTAGTTGTGAAAAATGTTGTGAGCCCCTAGTTGCGAGTTTTTGTCTTATTTCTGTATGACAAGGTAATAAACAATACAAATATCCATGGTAGAGATATGACAAAAAGCAACCTAATCATATCACCGTGGGTGATTGGTAAAGTCTACGTAACAGGAGCTTTCTCCATCTCTCTTACCTTGAATACATTTGTTCGATCCTACTAACGTCGTCCATCCGGGGCAACAGAAACTTTGACCATTTTCTTTACAAACGTGGGGTCCGACCATTCTGGAATAAGAACAAAGATCCGGTTAATACTAGCATACCAAACAAGTCCTTGATCAAGCTGACATTGTGAATACATATAGGCAATATGCAATCCCTAAATCATTTATTAAAATGTTGCAATATTAGTGAACAATGCAATTACTAGATAATGTTTTTGTGGCGTCACACTGGTATATTGGGTCTTATTACGTGACAGTCATCAACGGGAATGGAATCTTACTTAGTTCGTCGCAGATTCTGAACATTGCTTCGATCAGGAACGATGGTTCAGAACTATCAAGGTGATCTCGTTCGAATTGTTGTTATATAACCTTATTTGGATGATTTACAAGTTTTTATGATTATGGCAAGACAACCAGATTGGTGAGTAGACCAGATATACACTTTAATCGCTAGATTGATATCCTTCTTAACAGAATTTTGTCTAGTGGCATTACTGCATTCCGACAAGGCGAGATCGGGTATTGGAAAAGTAGACTACATACAATTTTCAGTTAAAATAATGATTGTAATGATTTTGGTAGGCTGTGCAGTGCCGAAAATTTTAAAGTCAAAGAACCGAACTTCTCGCCTTGTGAAGGGATGCTAGGAATGTAACCAATTGATATTCCGAACAACAGGTATTCCTTTTTGCTAGATATTACCCTACTACAATCTGTTTATTTTAGTTCTGATTCTAAAGTAAATTAAAGAAATCCAATTGACTCTCAAGTTTGTTTTTAAATTTTTTTCGTTGCAACCCTGATACGGTGCATTCAAAGGGTCGGTTTCCCCAACATCGTATTTGCAATATTATAAAGCAAACTTGCCGACAAAATATGCTAAAATGAGTCGATGCAAGGGATAAAATTAGATCCGGTTTCCTAACAAGTATCGGAACCCAAAATATTGCACAAAGAACCATATTTAGAGCGCTGTGCTATTATCGAGCATATGCAACGACCAAGCTTTCCTTCCAGTATCGGCCCAAGCTAAAAAATGGTATGGCCTTTCAAATCATTGATGAGTGATACGTATGGACTTGGCGAAATTTCAAAGTTTAAAAATTAAAATCTGTTTTTTTGCAAAACAAGCCTTTGACTTCCGACAAACACCAGCTTTCAGACATGCTCGTGGGACATAGATAGGCTCATTGGGACCATTCATAATTTCATTGTAACGTTTATAATAATTGGCCTTTTTGACAAACATACTGCTGCGAGTTATTAGTCCTGTCAGACAAGTTTAATAATGAGCGTTGTGGGGTACATAATTTACATACAAGAAAAAGCATATAGCAACCAGCCAATCACACATAAGCGCGTGGATTAACTTTTCATTAATATGTTTCTATCTAGTGACTTGCTTGGGCCGGCGAAACGACTCATATTCCCAACCAAGTCTGGAACTCAACATAATAGCCTTAAGCGCGGTAAATGCTGTGGCCCAATGGCCCGGGTATATGATTGTGTACACGTGTACCTGCAGTAAGCAGAAACATTTTCATAAAGTTTGAATCAGCAACGATCTTGCCGATCATGAATTTTTGTGGCGCCAAAAAGGCAATCGATATGCAAAATACGTCATAATTCAAATTCAATTGAAACTCACGAACTTGGCGTGAGATAAGTGTCGCAGGTTACGTATCGTATGAATGCTATGAAAATTCTCATACTTTTAATTTTTGATAATCTTTTCACTTGCATAGTAACAATTTTTAAAAATCTACCATTTCCATAATAAAATTATATAAACCTTGACAGTGTCTAAGAAGTAATTGAAAAACTCTAAACATTTCATAACAACAGTAACATAAAATAACACCCTTTATATAACAGTGTATTTTCTGTGAGTTAATGGAAGTGTATGCCGCAGCCTAGACATTCGGCTCCACAGAAAGTGATACCTGTGCATTACAAAACGCATATCGGCATTTTATTCACGTTTCTCGCAATTGAGTTTTATTGCCTTGTACCTGCGTGTCATTATTGCTTCTGCGTATGTTCATAATATTGCAAATGGGAAACTGCGTCACTAAACTTGGCCGAAACACACCACATGTTACGAAATATTCTATTCTGTGCTGATTTTCCAAAATTTCAACAATTATAGAAGTGTGACGTATTCCAAGGTAGCTTTCCTATTTTCAAATTTTGCTTTAAATTACTCTAAATTTAAATTAGTGAATTTTTAGGATTTTGCATCTGATTCCAAAATATATTCATAGATTTTATTAACAAGGGCACTTTATTAACTTTAAATGCTTTAATAGCTATTGGCGGACATAAGTGCAACGAGACAATTCGAAATATCAGACACTTTGACTATATTTACATGTTCCACTTTCTGCTGATGAAATTTTATTTATTTGAAGTCTAGGGTTGCCAGACTTTTACAGCATACTTCCGAATGATACAAAAATAAACCGTCGATGAGTCAACACATTAAATTACATCCAACATTTAAGAAATCGAACACCTGGCAACCTTGTCTGTGACTAATTTCCTTTAAGACGTCTGCGGTTTTGCAAAATTATGATGGTACAATAGGGATTATCATTGTCGAAGATGTGTCGTTATTTTTAACGATAAATTTCAAGTTAATACATATTTTTACAGTGGCTATACGATTCCTTCAATAAGATTTGCTTCGCCCAAGATGAAATTCTCTACTCAGTCCTTCAAGTTGGTTTAAGTAAAAACAGGGAAAATCGGTGATTTTTTTGGATCATTTATAGTTTTATTCGCAAAGGATTTTTAATTGAGATATTCTGTAACGCCACCAAAGATACTAAAAAATTAGCATATAATCGAATACAGTCGCTAATAGTAAAAATGACCGATATTTAACATGCTATTGCCCGAGCTTGTAAATACTAGCACTATGGCATTGGATAAAAACGCGGCAATGATTTGAAATGCTCTAGATCTCGCAGAAAACTATCGGAAATTCTGCTGTAAAAGTTTTTACCAGACGACTTCCGCAAATGGTCTACTGTGAAAATTCCGCCAAAAATATTTCTTTCGCAAGATTGTAATTGCTTAGTATCCGAAATATAGTGAATGTGATTAATTTTGCTTCGCTTCGTAAACATTTAAAAAACAAGAAGTAATTCTGCATGAAACAAAAAAACCTAAAGTTTTAAAATGAGGTAAAACCAGAGCTCTCAAAATACAAATTAATAATCGTCTATTCCCAGCAGATTACTAACGTATTAACCGCTAAGCCGTTTGTTGGAAGTGTCGGCCCGCACCGCAATAGATCGTTTCTCCTAACCAGTCGGTTTCCTGGCGCGTTGATTAAAAGTCAGGTAAATATTTCGCAAAATCTCACACAATGAACCTTTTCAAAACATTTAATTATGCGTCTTAGTTAACGTCTTACGGTGTTTAAGCACACAAGATGTGTTGTTTATTTGTCAACAATCCTGCATTATTTGTAAATAGACAGGTATCAAGTGTATAAACAATCTATAGATGTCTCGATGGTCAGGCAAAGACTCTTTCACTTCGTAAAACAACGTCTTTCTGAAAGTTTGAATTCGAAATAAGATTACAGGGGAGTCTGTAATCCAATATACATCTATAACATCATTCTAAGTGACCATTATCTGCAGGCTAAATAGTTTTGAGGATTGTTAGTGCTAGTCTGGACTGGGCTATATTAAGTTTTGGGCCTTTCCCCATAGTTAAATCTCGTGCGCACGCATGCAAAAAAAAAAATCAGACAAATGACCCATACTTGGCACAAATCAAATTTCAATTTGTCCTATGCCCAAAGGTCAACAATGGCAGCCTGTTAACAAAGATTACAATCTAATGTGCCGATTTCCGAATTGGTTGAGTCGTTAGCTGGCCGCATAGAAGGTTTAAATTGTAATTATTTGATATCTTGTCATAAATCTCAAATATTCCGTCATTATTAAAGGGCCAAAAGGAAACCGTCAACCGTTTCTCTTTACCTTGTCGACCATAAAGAATTAGATTCATTGTGCTGCGTTGGATATGTTATGCTCGTGTGACAACATTCTCGTTCGAACATGGGGTGAAGATGTACAATTATCGCGATTCAAAATTTGACATTTAAATATTAACGATCGATGTCGAGTCGGGTTACAAAATACAAATGCTTTCATTTCATTATTATTGAACCTGGACTTGCCAAATAGTATCTGGTATTTACTCTAATTTTATTGCAATTTGAATTATTACAACGTTCTTTCGTTGTAACACTGCTAAACTGTAATATATTCAAAATGTTAGAATTGTGGTAATGGTACAATAATGGTTTTAATTTTTCCATAATGAATATTGGAAATACTCTCACCAATTCTCTGCATTCGATACATTCTAGTTAGCCGCTTATAACTTTATAAACCGATCTTTATTGATGGAAAGAGGACTCAGATTTTTGAGGAATTAATTATGTTCTAATGAAGCATCCAACACAAACTACATTCGCATAGTCAAGCATGTAATATTTGTTATTACACATTAACGCCAGCAAGTTACTGATTATTTTTCACATCGGGTGAAGTCATTTAGCACATCTAGAAAACAACAGAATGCGCTTGTTTCGTCATAAGAACTTAAATGTAGGTCAACCGTTACATCACAAACAAACACGATAAGCGACCAAACAATCGGTTATTTGATTTGGACTTATAATATGGCTAAATTGTATAATACGTTTATTAGTTTATCGTATAAATAGGCAGTAGTTTTCTTGTTTTGATTGCTTCTTATATAATATACACATCGCTTATTTTCAGAAAAAAAAAACGTGGCAGTTTGGTAAGAAGCAAACGTCCTCTCCCGCGCACTTTCTCTCAACAATTTTGTATGCGAGGAAGGGCTCGGGTGTCTTTTATCTTACCGATTTCCAGAGCCTACCGAATTTATTGAACCTTTGGCTATATCTCAATGCTAGGCAGGTATAAGCGACACAATGTGTGAATTAAACAAACTATGCGCCAGAGCCATCGTTTGCATTCAAAGAATAACTTTCTAAATTATCAAAAATTTCGGAAAATTTACTATTGTTTAGAATTCGGATTATCAATCTCAAATATCGACCTCAAATATATATCGGAGAAGAAAAGCTTTGTGATTGATTAACGAGTGGTTCATTGGTTAAAAATGCTAGGGCAAATCGTTCGGTGAAAAACCCGCAGACTCTTACGAAAATCTTGGTCTAACGAATAGCCTTGTTGACCCGACCCCGATAGGGTTGAAGTCCGGCTGTGTCTTTGTTGGATTTTGCTTAGAAAGCAGAATTTCTTAGTTTTAAATTTTGAAGGTTCAAAGTAAGTGCAAAAGTTCATCAGTGACGTTTTTATCAGTTTTTAAAACTCCTCGAATTCATTTTGGCTTGCTGATTTGCGATCAGGAATAATGCATTTAACAACAATTGAACGTATATTAACTTTTTTTTCGGTGACGTGATTTTTCTATGGTATGTAGTTATTCTTCATAATATGCCGATGATTGGCATAACCATACAGTATTCCCCTCCCACAATCGGAATACTGACGTATACAGATCGATAAAGTTCGATTTGATGATAAAAATCAAGTTAGTTGTACAGTTATTTACACAGCGCAATCGAGTACAGTCTCGGAAACGACAACAAGTCTATTCAGATGTTAAGAACCGTGTCGTGATGTCAACATTGGGTCTACTTATGAATATTGGGTTTCAGCCTGGGTGGCGCAATGTAAGAACAAGTTACGAACTTTTGACATTGCAAACTTATTCTACTTATTCTCATATCGAAGGTGTGCAACAAAGAAAGCGGCGGAACGTGCCCTTATCCGAATTAACAAACAGACAAAGCAGTTTAAAATAATTCAATAATAACTACGAACTATGCATTGACAGGTTGTTTTTGTTTTTCGAAACCACAAAGAGGTTATATAAACCCTGCTTACCAGGACCAAGAGTTCCAAGTGGTGAAATTCACATATCAGGTTTCGAATCGGTGTCATTTTATTGATAGTTTTCAGTTTCGAAACTTTGCGTAAACTTATCTTAACTATATTTTGCGGATCGAACTGGTGTGCTAGATTACAAAGTGTCGTACTCACAAAAAACATTCGATAGCTCTGATTACTTGCAACATCACAGCAGATTATTGCACCCAAGTGGTTGTTTGCGACTCTACCCCCAGAATGGAGTTTCGTTTAATGCGTTGTGGCCTTGCTGTGAGCTAATATTTACATTTATAAAAACAATGATAGCTTTTAAAGTTGGTACCCACAATTTTAAACAACACAAAACTTTGAACAAAGACCCAAATCATTCAAGGAAAGGATATTCAGCCATTAACTTATCAACGGATTGTTGATGCCACACAGAGCGTGCAATACAATGAAAACAACGTTCAAATTGATAGACACACGGACACATCGATAAGTGCACACCATCTACGGGTTATATTTGGCAAAAAATAAGTTTACCTAGAAATCTCAAGGAGACAAGTTTGACATTTCTTATAAAAACTTTGTTTTGCTTTCTCTCTGCAATGTCGATTTGTGATCTTACTTTACATTCGGACAGTATTTTTGTATTTTCATGAATTTAATTGTTGTTTTAGCACGCCTAGATCGTTTCACATAATTTAACATAAATTCGTAAATCGGTTTCCTCTATAAACGAGGTAAATAATAAAATCAAATGGAATTTGTGTGTTTTATTCATCAAAAATAAACATATTCTTGAAATTTAGTGGGACGTTTGGTGGTGATTGTATTGATAACATTTTCTCTATGAATATATTATAGGCGAAAAGCACTCGGTCGCAATCCATCCTGAACTACGTTGGTAAGACAAAACGCTACCAATATATGCCCGGTAATTGTTGCAGCGAGACTCCTGATTCATTCCAAGCTTTGCAACCATTTGGCGAATGAAAATTCTCTTTGTTGCAAGCTACTTTGAGATTATTTGACCCACTCACCCAAGGGTGCAGAGATAAAGTCAGAGCTATCAAGTTACGGAAATCAGTCTCCAATTTGAAGCCACTATTTGCATGGTTGAATGCAAATGCCGGGTGGTTGCGGTCGCTATTAGACACGGTTGACGATTTAAAGCCAACCTTAAGCCGAAAATTGCGAAATAAAAAGTGGAAAAAGTCAACCTTGTATGATATGACAGAACAGCTGATCTTTGTCGCACTAAGTTTAAAACTTATACATTAATGTCATATATTAACAATCACGTAGCACTTGAAACATATTAGATATGTTCATTACCGTTAGTAATAATCCTAAATTCTGTCTCCACAATTGATAATGCGGCTGAATATTTCCAAAACTTTTAGCTTGAATTGGTTTCTTTTCTTATTTTGTAAATTCGCACAAACAGCTGCAAATATTTTTATCTAAATGCCTCAGATCAAAATGAATGAAGTAAGAAACATTTCTACGGATATTGCTGAATGCAACAACTAATGTTTTCTACTGTTCTATGTTAGAAGATATTTCTGACAATTTAGTTTATACGAAATTCAAAACAATGCCGAGGAAAACGCGATTCAAAAATTACTATTTCTCTGTGTTGCTATAAAGAGGTAAAATGTATCCATACAGAAAATTAAAAAAAAATTAGATTAATCGCGAGATACAATGTCGTACAGAACACACGTATATTTAGTTATGAACATCACTACATATAATACGGCATTGAAAATATTTTTGCAGATTCCAGTCTGGTTAGAACTATTGAAAGATATGGTTTCAACAACAATGATGATATTGAACTCAAATAAACGTCAAAGCGAGGCAATTTTGCAAGAACGGGCAGGCAAAAATGCTATTCATAATTGAGCTATAATGATATATATAAAAGTCCCCCCTGTCCCTCCCCCCTCTATCAAAACAGAAAAACAAGTAAGTCCACAAAATATATATTTATCTCTCGCTATGTTTAGTTTCTCATGTGTCCCCTTTTGAAAATTACACTTCAAAAATGAAGTAACAAATTCGATACCCCCCCCCCCACACCAAGAATCAAAACTCACATATTTCCGTTTCTTCTTGGTCTAACGAGGTTCTGGGGTCTGCCGAATCCATAGTTTCTCCAGTGTTGAGGCACATGAAGTCTTCTGCTACGCATCTGCCCGATCGCGCCCACAAACAGGCAGGTGAACGTTAATACTAATAGTCCCCGCATCTTGAACCCAAAATTAGCTATGTTGTGCGTACTGGACGAATTCCTACGCAACTATGAATAAAAAATCTGAAAATGGGGACAAAATTAGGACGCATTTTTTCTTTTCCAAATTCTTGACGGGGGAAAAAATAATTGTGCTTGTTCAGGAATTTTGCAAAGAATGTTTAATATGGCAACCATGTAAGGCAGGCGTTATATTTACGGCTTTAAATCGTGTACCGTGCTGAGGGGTTCAATGATAATATACTATTGCCATATAAAAGATATAGTTGTTTTCAGTGAATTTGGCATAAGCATTATGGCGATATTTTACTTCGATCATGCTTGGCCTAGCATGATTCTCTACCATTCTATAAAAGAGAATATGAGAAGTTATACGCCATGCTTGAATAATCATCTCTCGAATCACAACTATAAAAAACGAGAGATTTTTTGCGAAGAATACAAGGCGAAAATTTCAGACATCCGGTTGTTCTGAGACGTCGGCAAACATTTTGATGCGGTTTCTTTTTATGGTCAAGCACTTCTCAACTTAATTTGCTGACTAAACAATAACACTAAAGAATTTGCATTGTGCAGAAAATGTACTATCGACATTTAACGCCTCACATTCTGTATTTACGATTGCATAAATAAGTGATTAATTTTTTTAAAGTATTGGGGAAGGAGTTATAATACGTCCCCATAAAGGGTAAAAGCATTTGAACATCCAACGCGTAATATCACAGTCCTGGTGCACATAACTACGCCAGTTATAAGCACCATTAAAGAATATTAATCCAAGGTCTATGACGATAGTATATAGCGGAATCGAGTGACTGCAACAATGTTGTGTTTTCTCATTGTAAATAGCCATCAAGTTTTCAAGCCTTTGATTCTCTCTGCGATTTTTTTTTTGTTTTCAATACATATTTCAGAGCTAGGCAAACTGATAGCTTGGTCCTGAGCCGGAGTGCCCGAGCGTATAAGTCAGTTCTCACCAGGGCTGCTTTAAATATTTTCAATATTTTTATTCCTGCATTCGTCTTATTAACCTTGGTGATATGTTGTAACTTGGTTCTGCATATGACCATAATGAACTTGATCTCAAGGGATCTGCTAATGGCCTCTAAGTTTGCTGTCTTTCAAACCTCTATTAAACTAAAAACAATTTTGAGATTCATCATTGAGCGTTTCTAATAAATATCCATTTTGCAGTCCCATGCTTGCAACGTCCCACCCTTTATCAATTAGTTTATGTCACCTCATTGAGTTTATTTGCATTTGACTGGTTAGCCCTCATTTTTACTAAAGGTAAATGAACTAAAATTACCATACTTGAATAAAGAGACTCGAAAACACCGGCTTTATATAGCGTTTTCACAAATTGAATTCTATAACTTACTGATCGAAGTCAATCAGACATTATGCTGTTCGCGTAGGATTTGAATATACATATTTATCCGCAGCATATTTTCATACTATGTTTTCCATTCATTTTTACGTTCAATTCCTCAGTTATAGTTTCGATGCCAAAAAATGCCGGGGGATTACTTGTTCGCTTGAGCGGAATCAGCGGTGCCTATTATGGGGATGATTGAACGAAAATTGGTCCCGACAAACAATCAATGCCGTATTTGCTAATCTTAGAACTCTAAGTATTGCAAATCGCCCAAAATAGACTCTCTAGTCCCGGAAATCAGTCTCCTTGCTGCAACAGGGCTTAGATCTATTTGGGAATAGGATTAATTGAGCAAAATTCACCGAGGTAAATCTTCGTAGTATCAGTAGATAGATTGGCCCGCATGACCGGAATTTGAAACAATTTCATTACAAAAGCTTACCGATAATGCTTGGCCGACTGCGCTAACAGTACGGTGATCGTACATTTGAACCCATGTACATTTGAACCCATACATTTTCACCCGTATATCCGCGGGTTCAATCTATATGAGGGTACTAAAATCCATGGGTTAGGGTTAGTATGGGATGCAGGTGTAATTGTCGTGGGTTCAAATGTACGTGGGTTCAAATGTAATGGAACCGTAGATAGATTGGCCCGCATGACCGGGATTTAAAACAATTTCATTACAAAAGCTTACCGATAATGCTTGGCCGACTGCGCTAACAGTACAGATAAAATATTATGCGTCTATTTGAACAAATAACACGAAATATGAATTTTCATCACATTACACTCTACAATGACCTTCGTCGTTGAGTCCCGCAGAGATTCAACGGCCCATAAAGTTCTGGAACCGACAAATTCACGCTGTGATAGTCGTTTGATCAAATCGCCAACGACCAAATGGAATTGCGAAGCGTGGGAACGACACATACTAAATGAGAGAAACCATTTAATGGAAATTTCATTGCAAGCAAACACTTTTAAAGACAGACAAACACAATTGTTGAATAACGAATCTAGGTTTGTAAGTAACAAGAACTTTAGTATGTTCATATTCTGATATATAACATTTAAGATATCGTCCTTCACTTCGCTGTGACCTCATGTGAAAAAACGTTTTAAAATTCGAACTCGCTTTTTCTACATCGAAATTAGCGATCACAAAGCGAGCGTGTTCTTACTCATTCGGGATAACCGTCGAGCTTGCTATCAGCCTTAAATTACTAAAATTCTCATGCGAACTGAATATGAAATCCTATTCTATGAGAATTACAATGCGTTGGAGAATCCAATCGATTTTATGATTCTGCTTCTCTCAACAATTTCTCACTACGATGGAGTTTTTGCCGATCCTGCACAACTAAATGCTCTCTTTGCAATCTGTCGCTTGTTTTAAAGACTAGCAGTGAATAAAGCAAACAAAGAAACGAAATTTTAACTAGAGCGTGAAAACGTAAAATTGTCGTCAAATGGAACGGCCATTACGGAAAGCTTTTATGACGAAACTATATTGTTCACATATTGTTTAAGCATGGAACACACATAAAACTAAAGTAGCAATCTGTGGGCCAAGTTTAAAAACGACGTCATCGAAAAGATCATCAATCTACAGTGATGTGGCATCTCGAAATGTTTGAACAAAAGCTTAATTGCAATTAACAATCGCTCATTGGTTAATTACACAATGCTAAGTCTTTTCGTTGTTTATTCGCGAATAATAAAGTAGCATAATGATGTAATAAAAGTAATTAATGCACAGCAATGAATATAGCCAGAATTTTAACCACTATCGGACCAGGGCCATGGCTGAGCGACGCATCAACGTGGATAAAATAGACAAATAAAGAATTTTGAACGATCAATATGGCGAAGCTCACCTTTAGTCAGAAGTTGCTAATGGGGTACATTACCACCTTGACCATAAAAATAGCATGGTTTATTTCCTTGCAATTTTGGGCATATTTGTGGGCACAACGAGGTAAAATTGCTGCTAAGATTTACTGTAAACAATGCGAATGATGTGTTACATTGTGTTTTGTCTGAGCCGTAATTCAACGAAAAATATCAGAGCAATTTGAAAAAAATTGCCCCATTTCAACCAAACTTTTTGTTCATGAATCCCTCATTTATTATTTGTGAAACAGATTTTACATAATGGACAAAATGCCTCTCACCTTCGATTCGATCAACCCTTTCGTGATATCGGGACTTCAGACTAATTTTATTTCTGTCCTAAAATGAGATTGTTTCAAATTCCACTTGCGTTTACTCACTTTCATTCAATACAAATCGCCAACGTTCATAAGCGAAGTAGAATCTGTTCATCAAACATCAAACTTGATATAGAAAATTTTATTTAGGTTTTGTGTTTCAGAGTTTCTCCCGGAGCAAGGCTTGACAAAATCAACCTCTGCTATGCAAGAGATTGCTTGTATTGAAAAGGACGATGAATTTCAGATCTTTTGTGTTTCATACACAATTAAATACAACCCAAATAAAGTGGTTTAAAACCTACACATTAATATATATTTGAATATCAATAAATGTTGTTATTTTTAACCAAAGCTTCTCAACTCAGCCTCTCATTTCCGATTCTTGATTGGACACGTCATCAACAAGGTATTTGTAAAACTGTTTTCGGAAATGGTTTCTACGTATTTATGACGTTTTTTGACCAACTTAGCGTCAAAACAAGGCATTTCATCAGGGTCCTATATGCACTTCATCACGTGTAATTACAAAATATTTACTAGTGGTAAATATCCAGCAGTAAAATCTCAATGCGAATGATTACGAAATCAATGTTGATTCAAAATTGATTTATCAAAACATTAATATTTTCAAATTGAACTAATTGCCAAACACCAGTTAGAACTGCCTAAATCGATGATATACAAATGTCATTCCCATTTTTGCCAATGTAGAGATAGATAGGTCTAGGAATATTCAAATTGGTGAGATTTCTTAGTTCGCTTAATTAGAGTTGAAGACTCGAGATGAAATTCCACATGAAAAAAAGTAGAATTAAAGGCTTTTTTATTATCAGACTCGCATTTTGCGGGTGCTTACTCTTATCGAGCTCTTATACTCTTATAAAAAGACTACATAAATATTTGTTAACTTTTCTTTGCACAATTGCAGAAACATTGTAGTAATAAGTGCATGAATGAGAAACAACTAACGTTATGAAAGCTACAAAAATATTAACCGCATTTCTCCCTCTATAATATATCATTCAAATATAATTTTGGACTTTGCGTTTTTATATCCAACATTAGCTAAAATAACATTTATTGGACTCATGGCTGCACAGAGACGTGTTATCAAGTCCTATTTAGATATCCTACTAGAACAAAGTTCCACGATAGTTTCTCTGCCAAGCGACAATGAAATTCTAGATCCACGGCAATCCTAGTCATTTTCTTCACACGTATTTTAATATCCATCAAATTTTAGGTTGTCTCGACAGCTTTGTCGGTTTTTGTAAATTGAGACACATCATTATCAATTTTGGAATTTCAAATCTAGGAAACGATCCAGACGACAAATGTAAGTTGTGGTTTCTTGACATTTACGTTCCGACATGATTTGTAATGAGGTTGATACGAAAGAAATTATAACTGAAAAAGTATACGGAATGGTTCAAAGCTTCAAATATTCCTTTGAACTACTCGTTTT